AGATAGCAACAGGTTGTTCATTTGCAGTGTTTTCAATGAAAGTCTTCTATGTAGCTGCTTTTCTGCCCTGAGAAGGTCCTGAATTAAGTGGAACATAGGTGTGCTGTTTGCATCATTTCTTCAGTCAGTCTCCAGTCAGGTCAAAAGAGAGAAAAACAGTTTTTTGAGATTAAGGTCGGCTCTATTCACTCTAGAGCCAGGGACCAGAGTTTCACACTGGTAACACCAATTGCCATCTTCAAGACTTTGCCTAACTAGGGGTAGTGGAGCAGGGGTTGGTGGGCAGGACAGGGGCATGGTGGTTCAGGGAAAGTAAAAATGCTACACAATTTTCCTGCCATTTTTAAGTTGCTGTTTTCTTGATTCAGCATTTATCTGATTGCTGCATATCTTTGCTTATTTTCTATAGTTTATATGAAGTTCACTCAGACAGTATTTACTCATTTTTTCCCCCTGTTTCTGTGGAGAAGGATAGGCCCTTAGAACTACCTACTCCACCATTTTCACTGTTACTCTTTTACTTCTTCTATAATCACGGAAGCGAACTTAAGATTTTTCTATTTATATTGGTGAGATTACCCTTGGTATCATAGTCAAACTAAATTCACAAAGTGTGTCAATTTATCTGTTCCCTCTTAGTCTATTCTCTGTGATGGTATACTTAAGATGGAGTTGTCTTTCATGTTTGGTTGAACTCACATATAAATCTTGTCTGGGCTTGATAGTGGTTTTTTGTTTCTTCTTTGTTATTTTTCCTTCCTTTCTTCTTTCTCTTCCCTCCTCCTCCTTTCTTTTCTTTTTTGTTTAAGTTGTTAGAGTCTGTTTCCTTTTTTTTTGGAGACAGTCTCACTCTGTTGCCCAGGCTGGAGTGCAGTGGCATGATCATGGCTCATTGCCGCCAGGTTCAAGTGATTCATCTCTATAAGCCTCTTGAATATCTGGACTGTGGGCACCGGCCACCACACCTGGCTAATTTTTGTATTTTTGGTAGAGCCAAGGTTTCATCATGTTGGCCAGGCTGGGCTCAAATTCCTGACCTCAGGTGATCCGCCTGCCTGGATCTCCCAAAGTACATGAGCCATTGTGCCCTGCCAGAGTCTGTTTCTTTAATAATTATAGTTCTACTGAAGTTTTAAATTTAAGACTCTTTTTGAAGTTATTTTATTACAAAAACTGTCCATCTGTCTATGTTTTCAAGTTTATTGGCATAATGTTGTTCTAGCACTCTTTGTCTTCATAACCCATAATTATGCTTTTCAAAAGTTCTTAGTTTTTGTGCCTCTTTTTTCTTATTATACTTCACAAAGATCTATTTTGCAAGGAATCATCTTTTATTTTGTCACTTCTCTCTACTGAATTTTTTTCATACCCATCTTTAACCTTTCTTTGGGATTACTCAATTGTCTTCTCTATTGAGTGAGATACTTAGATCATTTGCTCTTACTTTCTAATATAAGCTTATATAAAGCTACAAGTTTTTGCTTTTGAGTTTCACTTTAGTTGTATTCTACGATTTTTAATATGTGATATTGATAATCATTATTCATTATAAATGCTTCTTAATGTATTTTCCTTTGACCTCTGAGTTGTTTGAAAGTTATTTGTAAATAAAAGAATGAATGCAAGTATACGGTTTAAAAGTTGCTACTGAATAATGTTATTCTAAATAACTTACTGAAATTATTACACATCTGTAAGTAGATGGTCATGTTAATAATTCAGAATTTAAGTCTTTGTTGTCAGTTTGTCATATGTGTCATTTCTATCTACAGTGGAAAAGTAGTGAAAACAAGCCTTATGTTTTAAATATATAGGATTAAATTTTTTTTTACATATTCGTTTCTGATTTAATTGAAGTATGGTTAGAGAACATGGTATGTATGATTATTCTGTGGAACTTCTATAGACTTGTTTTGAGTTCATGTGATTGATGTGTTTGTGCTTGTGTGTATACATGTATGCATATATGTGAATGTTCTGTATATGCTTGAAAATAGCTTGTATTACTTACTTGTGTGGTTTAGGTATTCTCTTGGTTTTTTAGTTCAGTGGCCTTCAACCTTTTGTTAAGGTACCTTCTAAAATGTCTTTTAAGAAATTATGTATGCACTCATATTTTAAGTTGACATTTAAAATTTTTCATTGTAAATTAAAATAGTGCAAAGGGTATAATTTTAGTGTATTGTGTAAAACTTGACATTTTAAAATAAAACTTTCATAATTCTTTTAAAAGTATTCATGACTTCTAAATATTTTTTGTGATTTGATACTTATTAATTAAAACAATTCCCTCCCTGCAACCACATACGAGCATGGATTCCTATTATGTCTCCAGTTCAGAGAAACTTGAAAAGTTGAACCAACCATTCTGCAGAGGACAACTGAAAAAACTGGATGAAATGTTTTAAAAATATTTGCTTGAAAGAGTCTCAGCAGTCATATTTTAAAATACCTGTGTACCTTGGAAATATTGTGGGTTTGGTTCCAGACTATCACAGTGAAGCACATACTGCAGTAAAGCAAATTACATGAAGTTTTAGGTTTTCCAGTGCATATAAAAATTATGTTTAAATTATTCTGTAGTCTGTTAAGTAGGCAATAGCATTATATCCATAAAATAATACCTTAATTAAAAATATTTTATTGTCAAAAAGCACTAACAATCATCTGAACCTTCAGTGAGTCATCATCTTTTTGTTGGTGGAGACTTTTGCCTTGATGTTGATGGCTACTGACTGACCAGGGTGGTGACTGCTGAAGGGTAGGGTGGCTATGGCAATTTCATAAAATAAGACAGCAGTGAAGTTGCTGCATCAATGGACTCTTCCCTTTTGTAGAAGATGTCTCTGTAGTATGTAATGGTATTTGATAGCATTTTACCTGCAGTAGAACTTCTTTGAAAATGGGATCGATTCACTCAAACCCTGCCACTGCTTTGTTAACTAAGTTGTTGTAATATTATAAATCCTTTGTTGTCATTTCAACAATATTCAGAGCATCTTCACCAGGAATAGATTTCATCCCAAGAAACCACTTTTTTTGCTCATCTATAAAAAGCAGTTCCTTGTCCGGACAAGTTTTATCATGAGATTACAGCAATTCAGTCACATATGCAAGCTCTACTTCTAATTCTCGTTCTCTTGCTATTTCTACCACATCCTAGTGACTTCCTCTACTGAAGATTACATCCCTCAAAGACATCCGTGAGAGTCAGAAATGACTTCTTTCAAACTCCTGTTAATGTCGATATTTTGACCTCCTCTCATGAACTATAAATATTTTTCATGATGTCTCGAATGGTGAATCCTTTCCATAAGTTTTTCTTTACTTGCTTAGATCCATGAGAGGAAACACTATGACAGCCATAACCTTACAAAATGTGTTTCCCAAATAATAAGATTTGAAACTCAAATTGCTCCTTGATCCATGGGCCACAGAATGGATGTTGTGTTAGCAGACATGAAAACAACATGAAATTCAATGTACAACTTCATCAGAGCTCTTGGGAGACTGATGCAGGTGCATTGTCAATGATTAACAATACTTTGAGAGAAATCTTCTTTTCTGAGCTTTAAGTCTCAATGGTGGCTTAAAATACTCAATAAACCATGCTATAAACAGATGTGCTGTCTTTGAGGCTTTGTTGTTCTATTTATAGAGCACAGCCAGGGTAATTGAGCATAGTTCTTAAGGGCCATACATTTTCAGAATGATCAGTAAGCATTGGCTTCAACCAAAAGTCACCAGCTGCATTAGCTCCTCACAAGAGAGTCATTCAGTTCTTTGAAACTTTGAAGTGAAGCACTGACTTGTCTCTAGCTACGAAACTACTAGAAATCATCTTCCAATAGAAGGCTGTTTTGTCTACACTGAAAATCTGTTGTTTATCCGTGATCCTTGCAAGATCTTTGGATAACTTGCTGCATTCTCTCCATCAACACTTGCTGCTTCACCTCGTGTTTTTATGTTAGGGACATGATTTCTTTTGTTAAACCTCTTGAACTAACCTCTGCTAGCTTCCTACTTTTCTTCTGCAGCTTCCTCACCTCTCTCAACCTTCATAGATTTGAAGAGAATTAGGGTCTTTCTCTGGCTTAGGGTTTGGCTTGAGGGAATACTGTGGCTGCTTTGACCTTTTCTCTACACCACTCAGACTTTTGTCAATTATCAATAATGCTGTTTTGCTCAGACCATTTATGTATTCACTGCAGTAACACTTTTAATTTCATTCAAAAACTTTTTCTTTGCATTCAGACTGGTGCAGGAGGCCTGGCATTTAGCCTATCTTGGCAGTTGATATATTTTCCTCATTTAGTTTAATCATTTCTAGCTTTTGTCTTAAAGTAAGAGATATGCAACTCTTCTTTTCCCTTGAATGCTTGGAGGCCACTGTAGGATTGTTACTTGGCCTAATTTCCATTTTGTTGTGTCTCAGGGAATAGAGAGGCCCAAGGAAAGGGAGAGAGACAGGAATGGCTGTTGCTGGAGCAGTCAGAACATGCACAGCATTTATTGCTTCTGTTTGTCCTCTTATGTGGGCATGGTTCATGGCGGCTCCAAACAATTAAAATTGTAATTGAAAGATCACTGATGACAGATAACTGAAACTGATATAATAATAATAATGAAAAAGTTTGAAATATTGCAAGAATTACCAAAATGTGACATAGAGACATAAAGTGAGCACATGCTGTTGGAAAACTGGTGCTGACAGACTTAACTAGATTCAGAGTTGCCGTAAATCCTTATTTTGTAAAGAAAAACCCCCACAATATCTGCAAATTGCAATAACGCAGTGCAATAAAATGAAGTATGTTTGTATTTAAAAAAGTGTGATTAATAATTCAGTTGTAAGTGGTAGTATATCAAAAGATTTTGACTGCTACTACATTTTGTTCTGATTTTAAGAGTTGTTACTTCAGCCTCATTACAAATTATAGATGCTATGTAAATACTCTGCTATGTACCTTTAATAATTTCTTTTTCTGCTTCTTTTCTAGGCATCACACCTTTGTATCATAATATGTTTGCTTTAATGAGTGAAACAGAAAGGATCTGGTATCCACCCAACCATGTCTTCCATGTAGATGAATCAACCAGGGATAATGTACTCTACAGAATAAGGTACTTTCTTTAGTAAAGTAACTCACTTAATGCTAAAAGGCAAAGTGGAAGAAATTATCAAATATTTTTTAATCGCAAGGTACTTAATACCAGAGACCTGAACCAATTAGCACTCATTTAAGATTCTGTTTCTCCATCAGAAAAACTGTTCATACATGTTGTTTAAATAGAATACTCTGAGAATAAAGCTGTTTTTGTGGGATGCCACTTAATTCCTTATGATTATAATTAAATAAGTAAAAAAGATCAGAATGGCCTTTATTAACAACATCCTAAATATTTGGGATATTACTCGTTTTCAAGGACATTTGATGTTTTGTACAATAAAATGCAATTTCACACATCATCTTTATAAATAACTTTTTAAAAAGTTGACATGAAGAAAAGAGACTTTTCCCAGTGTTTATTTGCAGCCTCAAATTCTAAGTTAATTTATATAATTTATGAAAATGTGTAATGCCTATTTAGAGAAATCTAGAAGTATTTTTTTTTGCTCAAAAGGATAAAACAGATATAAATGTGATTTGTGTCTCACAAATACCTGTCATTTTCTAAGTGTTTATATGTATATAATTTTATATTTATATATGTAGTTTAATTATATATGTAATTTAATTTTCATCACAACTTCATGAAGTATTAGATTTCCAAATTAAAGATAAAGAATCTTGTGCTTTGAGATATAATATTACTCAAATTTATTCATGTTCACATAGCTGGGAATTGAGAGTCAGGTTCAAATCCAAGCCTAGTTTGCTTTATAAGCTTGCCACCACCTCATGTGTACTTCATTAAAGAGATAATGTATATATAGTATTTATTATTGTGCCTATCACTTGGTGCTCTCTCAATAAATTTTAGTATTGCTTTGCTTCTTTCCCTTCCCCTATTTTGTATAAAACTACACAATTCAATGTGTTTGCATTTATTGATACAAACTGATGTATAATATACTGATGTATAATTTGCACTGAGTTCAAAATATTATTTTTTATATAATTATTGAAAAGACAGAATTAGTGAAAGAATTTAATAAATGTTCAAATAAATCACAGATTACAAAAAATTGATAGCATTCTATATATAAGCAACCAGTTATATAATAGATAAAGAAGATTGTATTCAATATAGCTATAGAAACCCTTAACTAACCAGGAATAGTCTAAATAAGAAAAAACATAAGACAATATAGGAAAATTAGAAGTTTATTTGTAGAATATGAAGAATTAGGATATAATACTGGAATGGTCAGATGGAATATTACAAATATCAATTACTCTTATGCTATGTGCTTAACTCTAAGCCAATCAAATACCCTAACAAAGGCATTTTAGGGAATTTGACACATTACAATGTTAATTTAGAATTATTAAATAAGATAGCCATGAGAAAGAAGACTTACCTGGCAATTGTAAAATACTTTGTCCCAGGAAATATTTTCACATTATATGAAACTACAAAATATATCTTTTATTAAAGCCATATAATTAAATTCAGAACCATAACCTAAATAATGAGAATGATGGGGCCAGTATAGCTTGAAAGTACTCCTTCATACATATAGAAATACATGACAAAATATTTTCATGTTAAGGGAGAGATTAGTCAATAAATGGTGGTGGGATAGTTGGTTAGCTATTTGGATAAAATTTCAGCTTCTTTATAATGTATATCAGATAAGTTATAGGTTGATTAAAATCAGATTGACGTGTAAACAGAAATGTAAAGAAAATCAAACTATAGGCCGGGCGTGGTGGCTCAAGCCTGTAATCCCAGCACTTTGGGAGGCTGAGGCAGGCGGATCACGAGGTCAACAGATCGAGACCATCCTGGTCAACATGGTGAAACCCTGTCTCTACTAAAAATACAAAAAATTAACTGGGCATGGTGGCACGTGCCTGTAATCCCAGCTACTCAGGAGGCTGAGGCAGGAGAATTGCCTGAACCCAGGAGGTGGAGGTTGCGGTGAGCCGAGATCACACCATTGCACTCCAGCCTGGGTAAGAAGAGTGAAACTCTGTCTCAAAAAAAAAAGAAAAGAAAAGAAAATCAAACTATAAAAGTCTGAATTGGAATTGAATTCAAGTCCATGGAAAAATACCATGTAAGCTGCAACAGTGGAAGAAATCATGTGGGAATGATTGCAGTTGTTGACTATAAAAATTTTCAAACTTCTGAAGGTTTCCTCTTAAAAAGCAAATTGTAAAGATAGTTTCCACAAATCAAATAAACAAAGGGTTAGTATTTTTTTTTTTTTTTTTTTTTTGAGACGGAGTTTCGCTCTTGTTATCCTGGCTGGAGTGCAATTGCGCGATCTCGGCTCACCGCAACCTCTGCCTCCTGGGTTCAGGCAATTCTCCTGCCTCAGCCTCCTGAGTAACTGCGATTACAGGCACGCACCACTATGCCCAGCTAATTTTTTGTATTTTTAGTAGAGACGGGGTTTCACCATGTTGACCAGGATGGTCTCGATCTCTTGACCTCGTGATCCACCCGCCTCGGCCTCCCAAAGTGCTGGGATTACAGGTGTGAGCCACCGCGCCCGGCCCAGGGTTAGTATTCTTATAAATGTAAAATTAAAGATACTGCATCCATTAAATAATTACTTAATGTACACGAAGAAGTATTTAACAAAAGAAGAACAAATAGTTAATGGCCTTTAAAAAAATTCTCAGTGTCACTAGTTATGAGAATAATGAATAGTTATAACTATGTGCTGAAGCCACCGATCTCATAGGATTAACTAGCTAATGCCAATACATTATCGGACCAAGATGAAATGGACAAATGCCTAAAGAGACACAAGTTATAGGAATTACCAAAAGAAAAAACAAAGTTTGAATAGGTCTATGACAGTAAACAAATCAAATTAGTAATGGCTTCACTTGTGAATTCTATTGCACATTAAAATAATTCTTACTGGTTATTCACAAAAAATAGAAAAGGAAGGATTTCCCTACTCTTTCTATGAGTTCAGTATTATCCTAATACCAAATTCAGACAAAAGTGTCTAGAAGAAAAGAAAACTACAGACCAAGGTTGTAGTTAGAAAATCAAGAAATACAAACTGAATCTAGCAATACAGCTTGAGTATGTCTTATCTGAAATGCTTGGGACCAGAACTGTTTTGGATTTTGAATTTTTTTAAATTTTAGAATATTTGCAGAGTACGCACTGGTTGAGCATCCCTAATCTAACATTGTAAAGTCTGAAATGCTCTAATGTATATTTCTTTTGCACATCTGGTTAGTGCTCTAAAGGTTTTGGAGTTTGGAGCATTTCAGATTTCAGATTTTTAGATTAGGAATACTCAATATGTTTACAAAAAGATTAAATACCATGACCAGGTGGGATTTATCCCAGGAAATAAAGGTTAATGTAACTTCTAAAAATGAATCAATATAATACACCACATTAATAGAAGGAAGGACCAAAACCACATGATCATCTCAATAGACAAAAAAAAAGTATTGGACATAATCCAACATCCTATCACTATAAAAAAACAAACAATAGGAATGGCAAGGAACTTCCTCAATTTGTTAAAGGGCGTCTATAAAAGATCCAAAAGTAATGTCATACTTGATGGTTAAAGACTGAATGCCTTCTCTCTATGATAGGAATGAGATGAGTGTAGCTAGCTACTCTTACCACTTTGATTTAACATTATTCAATAGATTAAGGCTAGGGAAATTAGGCAACAAAAAGAAATAAAAGGCATTCAGATTGGAAAATAAGAAGTAAAACTGTAGTCAGCCTGCTGTTTCCATGGGTTTCACATCCATTGATTAAAGCAACTGCAGATTGAAAACATTTGGGAAAAAGTGCTTGAACTGAACATGTACAGACTTTTTCTTCTCATTATTACCTAAACAATACAGTCTAACAACTATTTACATAACATTTACATTGTATTAAGTATTATAAGTAGTCTAGAGATTTTAAAGTATACTGAAAGATGTGCACAGGTTATATGCAAATACTGTGCCATTGTATATCAGGAACATGAGTATTTGCAGATTTTGATATATGTGGGAGGTCTTGGAACCAGTACTGTGTAGGTACCAAAGGATGATTACATATTTACAGATTACATGATCTTGCATATTAAAAATACTAAGGAATTAATAAAGAACTATTAGAATTAAAAATTAGCTCAGGTGAGTTGCAGAATAGAAGATCAATATATAAAAATCAGTTGTATTTCTGTACACAAAAAACAATCTAAAAATGAAATTAAAAAAATTAACAATTGCATAACAAATTTTTAGGAATAAACTTAACAAAAGAAGTGTAAAATCTTTGCACTGAGAAATAGAAAACATCACTGAAAGAAATTAAGGAAACACCTAAATAAATGGAAAGATATCTCATAGTTAGAGAACTTCATATTTTTAAGATGGCAGTACTCCTTAATTGATGTGTATGTTCAATGCAATTCCTACTGAAATCCTAGCTGTCTTTATTTCAGAAATAAACAAGTTAATCATTAATTTATATAAAAAGCAAAGGGACACAGGGCATGATGGCTTATACCTGTAATCCCAACATTTTGGGAGGTTGAGGTGGGCAGATCGTGAGGTCAGGAGTTTGAGACCAGTCTGGCCAACATGGTGAAACCCTGTCTCTACTAAAAATATAAAAATTAGCTGGGCGTGGTGGCAGGCACCTGTAATCCCAGCTACTCAGGAGTCTGAGGCAGGAGAATCGCTTGAACCCAGGAAGCAGAGGTTACCGTGAGCCAAGATTGTGCCATTGCACTCCAGCCTGGGCAACAGAGCTCTGTCTCAACAACATCAACCACAAAGCAAAGGGACTTAGCACAGCTAAAAGAATCTTGAAAAAGAACAAAGTATGAACACTTACACTTCCCAATTTCAAAATTTATTACAAAACTACAATAATGAAGACAAAATGCCTTAAAGCCCCAGACCCAACCCCACAGGTGTATGTGCAGGGGCCTGGGAGTAGCCCTGGACTGGCGGGTGGTCCCCTAGAACGGTTTCCGGGGGGAGTGGAGGTCCCCCAGCAGGACTTGGGGCCATGCCAGGGCAGTGGCTGTGAGTCTGGTTTTTGCTTTATCAAGTGTACAGAAATGGCCTTTATATTTCTCTCATGCTCTCTGGAAGCCATATAATTTAGGGGATTTTAAAACTAAAAATAAAAATGAAACAAAAAAAAAAAGATGCCTAACAGCATTAGTCATTAGAGAAATCCAAATCAAAACCACGATGGGATAATAATCGATCTACAAGGATGGCAAAAATCAGAAGGACAAACAATAACAAGTGTTAGAGAATTTGGACTAATTTAGATGCCATATATTGCTACAGGGAATGTAAAGTGGTGCAGCTACTTTGGAAACAGAGTTACCATATGATCCAGCAGTTCTCCTTTAGATGTATATGCAATAGAAATGAAAACATATATTCACAAAAACTTGTGTTTGACTCTTCATACCAGCATTATTCACAATAGCAAAATAATAGAAACAACCCAAATATCTGTTAGGCATGAATGGATAAGGAAAATGTGGTATATTCATACAATGAAATATTAATTTGTCAATAAAAGGAAATGAAGTAATGATACATGCTCTAACATGGATGAACCTTGAAAACATTATGTGGAGTGAAAGAAGGTAGACAGAAAGGCCACATGTTCTAAAATTAGATTAGGGTATTATTTGTATAATGCTTAAGTGGGTGAACTTATGGTATGTGAATTATATCTCAATAAATGTGTTACTAAAAGAATCAATATAGAGTATTTTTTGTTTCTTTGAAGGAAAGTTTTTAACCTCTTTCTCTAAAGAAGCAATTATTTGTTTTCACACAAATTAGCATTTTCAGATTCTCTACCGATGTTACTGGATTAATTTATGTTTTTACTTTTTGTTAATATTTTATTTCTACATTTTTTGTTTCCTATTATTGCTTCTACATTCTATGCGCTGAAGGAGGTAGTATACTGATTTTACACTTAAATTTCTTGTACTTTCTGCCTATATTATTGTAGTGTTATCCACATATCCTTTTGTCTGGAATTTATGTTTACTACTGTTAACTGTGTTTTCTAAGTATGAGATAATACCTTTCAGTATGCTGTAGGTGACTATATATTGATAGTATGTTTGTATTTGAACTATTTGGAGGCTGACCAAATGTGTTTATTGTCTTGTAGATTTTACTTTCCTCATTGGTATTGCAGCGGCAACAACAGAACCTATCGGCATGGAATATCTCGAGGTGCTGAAGCTCCTCTTCTCGATGACTGTGTCATGTCTTACCTTTTTTCTCAGGTATGATTATGCTATCTTACTTGTACTTGTGTTAAATGATAAATGTCCTGCTGTGTAATAAGTCACTTAATCAGGAAAAATGTCACATATGGGAAAATTGCAGTTCTGTCTTGCACAGCAGGTGCAGAGAAGGAACAAAATTGAGTCTTTTTAGCACCAGTTTTTAATCCCATGGTTTATTATCTATAAAATAGAATCTATTTTATAGATTTTTTTGAGTTGATCCTTTGAATTTCTTTCTCCTTTTTTAAGGACTTTGATCATTTTAAGGATTTCACAAGGTATAGACTGAGTTTTATAACATGATTCATGTAGACTAAGTGGCTAAAATATCGGTAAAATTTCTTTAGCATTTAAAAAAAATTTTTGGACAATTTCAGGCTTACAAAATGGGCAATTAACTCTAGAGAAATAGGTTACATGAAAAATGAGCTATGATAGTTTGTGTAGCTGTTTATAGGAAGGTGGCTGAATGTTGATAGTCTGAGAATTATAATCTAGTTTGTTCACTAATACAGTTGTGTCAAATTTTTGTATTGTGCTTGAATATTTGATAATGCTTTCTTCTCTGTTACCCTGATTTAAACAGTAATTGAAATGTTTTGTCATTAAATAACTTGTTTTTATGTGCTGCTAGACTGGTATGAATAGAAACTAAAGGCAGAAAATATATTAGTGCCCTTGGGTAAAAATATGCATTTGGTATCCTCAAGGTATCAGATTAGGAGTTCTAAATCAGATTTGACAATATTGTAGAAAATAAGCCCATAGATCCTTGTGGTTCACATTTCCAAGAAGCCTAGTAAGGCTAGTTCAGTTTATGAACAACAAAAGAAAAAATATTTCTCTATTGGGGTATGAGACCAACAGACTTTATTTTTACTGTGGTAGAAATAGATAATAAAAATGATCATTTTAACCATTTTAAGTGTACAGTTCAATTGTATTAAGTACAAACACATTGTTGTACAACCATCATCACCATCCATCTCCAGAACATTTTTCATCTTCCCAAACAGAAACTTCACACCCATTAAATAATAACTCTCTATTTCCCACTCCCAGTGGCCTTTGGAAGTCACCATTCTACTTTCTGACTATAGTCAGATTTATAAATCTGCCTTTTCTAGGTATCTCATACAAATGGAATTATACAGCATTTGTCCTTTTATGACTGGCTTATTTTACTTAGCATAATGTCTGCAAGGTTCATTTATGTTGTAGCATGTGCCATAATTTCTTTTCTTTTTAAGGCTGAATAATATCCCATTGTATATGTATACTTCATTTTATTTTATTTTATTTTGAGATGGAGTTTCGCTCTCGTTACCCTGGCTGGAGTGCAATGGCGCAATCTTGGCTCACCACAACCTCCGCCTCCTGGGTTCAGGCAATTCTCCTGCCTCAGCCTCCTGAGTAGCTGGGATTACAGGCACGCACCACTATGCCCAGCTAATTTTTTGTATTTTTAGTAGAGACGGGGTTTCACCCTGTTGACCAGGATGGTCTCGATCTCCTGACCTCGTGATCCACCCACCTCGGCCTCCCAAAGTGCTGGGATTACAGGCTTGAGCCACTGTGCCCGGCCCGTTTTATTTATTCATTCATCTGTTGATGGATACTTGGGTTGCTGCTGTGAACATGGTATACAAATATTTCCTTGAGTCCCTGTTTTCAGTTCTTTTGGATATATACACAGAGGGCTGGATAATATGGTAAATTTGTAATTTTTTCTGAGGAACTGCTACATTGATTTCTGTAGTGGCTGGACTATTTTTCAGTCCTGTACCAGCAGTGTACAAATGTTCCATTTTCTTGACATCCTTGACAACACTTTGCTTTGTTTGATGATAACCATCCCGATGGGTATGAGGTGGTATCATTATGATATTGATGCATACTTCTCTAACAATTAGTGATCATGAGCATCTTTTCATGTGCTTGTTGGCTATTTATCTTCTTTGCAGAGATGTTGCTTGGCCGTTTGTTTGTTTTCTATGCAGAGATGTCTATTCAATTCTTTGCCTATTTTTAAATTGTTTTTGTTTTTTTTTTGTTCTTATATTGTAGAAATTATTATTCTGGGTCTTAGCTCCTTATAAGATATGTGATTTGTACATATTTTTTTCCATTCTCTAGGCTGCCTTTTTATTCTGTTGCTTGTGTCCTTTGATGGACAAAAGTTTTAAATTTGGATGTATTTCAATTTGTTTATTCTTTTTTGTTTCCTTTGTGTTTGGTGATTATCCAAGAAATCATCACCAAATTCAATGTTATGAAGCTTTCTTTTTGTTTCCTTATAAGAATTTTATGGTTTTAGCTCTTATATTTAGGCCTTTGATCCATTTTGAGAAAATTTTTGTCTGTTTGTGTAAGGTAAGGGTCCAGCTTCTTTTGCATGTGAGTCTCAAGTTTTCCTAACACAATTTGTTGAAAGACTGTCTTTTTGCCATTGAATGGTCTTGGCACCTTTGTTGAAAATCATTTGACCACCAACCTACTTTTTTATCTCTGTAGTCATTATAAAAAGAGAGTGGGGTAGGGAGAGGCTTCTGAGAATAGCCTTTTGAAAATAGGATATTATGAGGTCACAACTTTCTATTGCTTTTACAGGTACATTATTTTACCTGTGCTGCAGAGCTAGTTTTATTTTGGTGGCATGCTAGTTAAGTCCCATTTGTAATCTAAGTTTTCCCAAACCTATTCATTTAGCTACTTTAGGCTAACATTAATACTGCAATGTGTAGTGTTTTTGATCTAGAAAAATTTTGGGCGATTTCAGAATATTCACTTTTATCCTTCTAGGAAGGATTATCTTGTTTAGCATGGCAAAGTAATTTCACCACATAATCCTAAATTATGTCTAGATAGTACCATAAGCAGTTTTCTATTTTTTAATGTTTTTACTTCTCTACATTTATGTCCAGAACATATGACAGTATTTAGATTACTCTGATTATACTATTATCATTTTATACTATATGCATGTTATAGACTATATATAGCAAATTTGACCAGTGGCATTACTAGAGTGTAAGACTATCTTGATATCTTTAACCAAAAAATAGGTAAGCCACTAAACTGTCTTTAAAGTTCTTAAGATAGTACCTATAGAAAGACAGATTTGGAAAAGGTAAGCAAATAAAAGTCCAAAGTAAGATGGCCCTTTTAAATTCAGTTTCCTCTTGGAATTATTATACCATCAAATATGGCTGCTCAGAAAATAAATTGCTGATGTGAACAATTTTTAATTAATTCATACCTCTTGAACAACAAATGGATATTTACCTCATGTTCTTTGCATCATTTCTGATTTTGTGACTGTGACTTTTTTTATTTCTCTGGCTAATGAAGATGTAAATTTCTTAAGCTCAAATTTCGTCAGCTACCCAGATGAGGAAAAGTTTTCTTTCTTTTCTATTTTATTTTTTGGTAGAGATAGGGGTCTTATTTTGATGCCCAGGCTGACACAATCATAGTTCACTGCAGCCTTGAACTCCTGGGCTCAAGTGATTGTCTGGCTTCAGCTTCCCAAGGAGCTAGGACTGCAAGTTTGTGCCACTATGCCTGACTAATTTTTTTTTTTTTAAGACAGAGTTTCGCTGCTGTTACTCAGGCTGGGGTGCAATGGCGCGATCTTGGCTCAGTGCAACCTCCGCCTCCTAAGTTCAGGCAATTCTCCTGCCTCAGCCTCCTGAGTAGCTGGGATTATAGGCACGCGCCACCATGCCCAGCTAATTTTTTGTATTTTTAGTAGAGATGGGGTTTCACCATGTTGACCAGGATGGTCTTGATCTGTTGACCTCGTGATCCACCTGCCTCGGCCTCCCAAAGTGCTGGGATTACAGGCGTGAGCCACCGCGCCTGGCCCTGCCTAATTTTTTAGTTTTGTTTTTGTAGAGGTGGATTCTCACTCTATTGTCCAGGCTGGTTTCAAACTCCTGGCCTCAAGTGATCCTCCTACATCAGCCTCCCAAAGTGCTGGGATTACAGGTGTGAGCCACCACACCTGGCCTGAAATTCTTCATTTGTTTTAATTAAATGAAATTTTTGAGGGCACATACTATAAAGAATAGTATTTATTATGTTTTGGCATCTGAGACTCTTCCATTTGTAACTTTTGTCTAGTGAATATTTAGTTGATTATGTTTGTAGTAATGCTATTACTAACTTTTCATACATTTATTGTCTTTTGGTCATGAGTTCCATAGAATTTCCCAGGAGCAGAATTTGTTATCTGGGTCTATATGGAACTGAGGCAAGTAATTAAAAAAAAAAAAATCTATCAAGTCATTGGTTATCTCTTACTTAAACAGTATAACTTACTTGCCTGTTCTCAAAAGTGTAGTGAAATAAGATTTAAAATTGAGCAAAAATATGTCTCCTTCCCTGAATTCATTTTGTATTAGCAACATTTAGGCCTTTGTTTTGGTTAATACTGATTATTTGATGGTGTACTTGTTACGTAATAGTTTATTTTCTTATATGAAAATATCTTCTATATTTTATGAATAGAAAGTTAAACAAATATGCTTTTATATATACATTTCTTTTAATAAAATTAATTTTAAAAGGTTCTGGTAAAGCTTTAATTTCATGAGACAAGTTAACACATCAGAAGAAGGGTAATACGTATGTAGAATATAGAAGGCCCTATATTTGTCTTATCTGGTTTAAAACCTTGATTCATATTATTATTTTACATAATAAGGCTCTTAACCTTTTTTTCTACAAAGAAAATTGGTATTATGTTTAGAATATTTGTACTTTTGGTTTCTATCTTTTTCTCCTGTTACATGTTCAATCTTAGAACCTCTGTGTTTCTCTCTTCTTTATTCTTTATACAATATATAGTTAATAAAGTTATCAGCCTTTTTCAGAATTTTTTAATATCTTCTATTTCCTGGATTAGATCCTTATTATCTCACATCTGAGCCATACACCAGCCTTTTAAAGTATCTCCTTGAATACACTTTATTTTCTTCAAGTACTTCTATCATTGCTGCTACTCTGCCAATGGAAGAGACAGGATGAAAATAGTTCTAGGATGATGTCATTCAACAGTACCTGTAGTCTGACCCTAACTTTACTGTTCTAAGTTTTAACTCACATCATTTCTTCACATAAACTTTAGGCCCTAATCAAACTAGTTTATAGATCTGAACATACTTTTTGCTTTTTTGTGGTTCATTCCTTCTATTTTTTTTTTACCCTGTTTTGTGTTCATCATACATTTCTTTATTTTTAAAGACACTGTGAAGTTTCAAATCTTCCGTGAAACCTTCTTTGATTACTCCAACTGAATATAATCTTAACTTTCTCCAAGTTCCTGAAGGAGCTTCTGTGTGGTGCTTCCTATATCATGTCTGGCATTATAATTATTTGCTTCCATTTAGCTTCTAAGCTAGATTTTGGTCCCCTTGATGACTGAGACCACATCTTATACAGTCATGTGTCAGTTATGGGGATACATTCTGAGAAATATGTCATTAGGCAATTTTATTGTTCTGTGAACATCATTTATTATAGGTATACAAACCTATATGGTATAGCCTAGTATATGCCTAGGCTATATGGTATAGCCTACTATTGCTCCTAGGCTATAAACGTATATAGCACTTTGCTGTACTGAATATTGTATGCAATTGTAACACAGTGGTAAGTATTTGTATAGTTAGACATATGTAAATGTAGAAAAGGTACAGTAAAAATGCAGTATTAAAATCTTACGGGACCATTGTTACATATGTGGTCTGCCATTGACCAAAATATTGTTATGGGGCACATGGCTATTTCTTTTTATCCAACACTATTTGTAGGATGATGCTTCCAACATAATTAGAGTTCACTATATATTTAATTAAGTAATATATTTTAATTCAGGTAATTTTTATGCAGAAGATATAATTTGAAGATATATGCAATGAAATAGGTTGATGTTGTATGTACTCTGTAATTGGGAACCTAGTGTAAACCAGTTTTCATTTGCAAATGAACTTTATTAAAAATTTATTCCAAATGAATGAAAATTAAAGGAGGAATTTAATTATGCCTTTATGTATTTAGAAACTGGGTGTTGGTCTGTCACCCAGCCTAGTGTTCAGCAGTGTGATCATAGCTCAAGTGATCCTTCTACTTCAGCACCCCAAGTAGCTGGGACTACAGATGTGTGCCACCATGCCTGGCTAATTTTTAAATTTTTGTAGAGATGAGATCTCGCCACATTGCCCAGGCTGGTCTTAAACACCAGGCTCAAGTGATCCTCATGCCTCAGCCTCCCAAAGTTCTGGGATTATAGGCATGAGCTGCTCAGCCTGGCCAATTTGTAGCTTGTAAATGCACATGTTCTGAAAACTGTGATTAAAATACAGTTGTAGATTAAAACGTGGTAATGAAGCTTATAATGAGATATTTCCTTCTAAATTTTTGCTTTTAGTGGCGGCATGATTTTGTGCATGGATGGATAAAAGTACCTGTGACTCATGAAACTCAGGAAGAATGTCTTGGGATGGCAGTGTTAGATATGATGAGAATAGCTAAAGAAAAGGATCAGACTCCACTGGCCATCTATAATTCTATCAGGTAATTTTCTTTTGCAAATCCTTATACGTAAGTGTGAGTAGTTAGAGATTTCATATAATTCATACATATTTTCTGGACTTACCCATGCCTTTTGATTTTATAATACTAGTTAAGTACCCCTTGTCTAAAATGCTTGGGATCAGAAATGTTTCAGATTTTGGATATTTTCAGATTTTGGAATATTGGTATTCTACTTACCAGTTGGGTACTGCCAATCCAAAATGCTTTAACGAGCATTTCCTTTAAACATCATGTTAACATTCAAAAAGTTCTGGATTTTGGAATATTTCAGATTTCATATATTTGGAAGAGGGCTAGTCAACCTGTAATAAAAAGTCATATGGGTAACTTTTATTTATTAGGGGTAACATACGCTTTGTAAGGTGAAATTACTGAAAGCGTTGTACTACAGGAAATATCATAGGTATAATATCTATTATTTGATTTCATTTATTCTGAGAAGACTAGGTAAGTTCAGAGGAACCAAAGAAACACCTGGAGGCATGCTTTGTGATAGTAGATCTTCCTGTTGGCTACATAAATGACCTGAATTAGTATATCCCACGTGGTGGTGTATATTTTATTTATATTAGAATCACGAGGGGGTGCCTGTTAAAATCAAAGATTAGAATCACGATGGGGTGCTTGTTTGACTTTCAGATGTCTGTTAGGCCTTAATCCAAGAGTGTAGGCCATAGAGTGTGATTTTAGGAACTCCGGAATATAGAAGAGTCCAAAGCCCAAAGCGGATAAAAAATCCACATTTATTCATTCATTCAGCAGCTCTTTATTGAATACTTGCTGTATGCCAGGTTATAGTAGAACACAGTTGCAGGAAGAGTATCTTAGATGTGGTTACATAGAAACCAAAGGAATTGAGGGGAATGTAGTTGAAGAACAGAAGCTTTGGCCCATTGAAGATGAATATTATAAATATGAAGCCATCTCTAGACTTATGCTATTGTGGGATATTTCTGCTTTGGAAACCATGATGTCATCCAAAGTCTTGGCACAGTCTTTCTATGTAGATTGTAGTTTCTTCCAGGTCGCATATCATGTCATCTATAACACTTCTCCCTACATTATTTAGTCTAGTGTCTTAAACCTAATGACTAGTAACTCTATTTGTCTGATTCTTTTAACTTATGCTCTTAGTCAGGATATAAACACACGTGCAAAATGCTGCATATTTCTTTTTTACTGCTTTACTTTAAAAATAATGTAGATATTAAACATTCATATAAGATTCCATGATATTTTAAGAGTTTATTGAGATATAATTTATAAGTCATAAATCTCATCCATTTAAAGTATACAATTTAATACTTTGTAGTATATTCACAGGGTTGTATTAAGATGACGGCAATCTAATTTTAGGACATTTTCATCCTTTCTGAAAGAAATCCCATGCCCAATAGCATTCAGTCTTCATCCCACTTTCCCCCAGCCTCTGGAAACCACTAATCTTTCTGTTTGTGTGGATTTTCCTATCTCAAACATTTTGTATAAATAGAATTATGCAAAATGTGGTGTGGCATTTTTTTGTCTGGTTTCTTTCACTTAGTATGATGTTTCCAAGGTTCATCTCTGTTGTAGAATGTATCAGTACTTCATTTCTTTTTGTTGCCGAATCATATTGCATTATATGGATATATACCACATTGTGCTTATTTGTTTTTCACTTGATGAAAATGTGGGTTGCTTCCATGTTTTGGCTGTTGTGACTAATGCAGCTATGAACAGTTGTATATGAATAATTTTGTGCATGTGTTTTTTCATTTTTCTAATGCATATATTTAAGAGTGGAATTCCTGGATCATATGGTAACTGTTTAACTTTCTGAGGAACTGCTTGATGTTTCAAAAGTAGCTGTGCTACTTTACATTCTCACCAGCAGTGCATGAAGAGTTCCAACTTTTTCAGCACTTGTTTCTGTCTTTATTTTACCCCTCCTAGTAGGTGAAAGTGCTGTCTCATTTTAGTTTTGATGTTCATTTCTCTAATGACTACTGATGTTTAGCATCTTCTCATATACTTCTGGCTGTTTGTCTTCTTTAAGAACGGTCTATTTGAATTCATTACTCACTTTTTAATTGGGTTATTTGTCTTACTGAGTTTAAAAAATTCTTTTTATATTCTGGATACAAGTCTCCACATACAATCATATTTATGATTTGCAAGTATTTCCTCCCATTCTGTGTATTGTTATTTTACTTTCCTGATGGTATCATTTGTAGCACAGAAGTTTTAATTTTGAAGTAGTCTAATTTGCTCAATTTTTCTTTTGTTTCTTGTGCCATGTGGAAATGTGGTTTTAGCAACATGGATATCTTTCTTGGTTTTAGCAAGAGCAGTTTCTCTTGAAATGATGGAACAGAAGCTACATTGGAATGAGTTGAGGGATAGATGGAAAGCAAGAAAATAGAAATGGCTATGTCCATTTTTTCAAAAAGAGGCCAGATAGGCTGTGGCTAGAGGGAAATGTGGGATTAAGAGATACTACATTTTAGATGGGAAAAACAATAATTCAGCAAGCCCTTTGTGTCTGTGGATTCCACATCTAATATGTCATAGTATGAGGTCCAGAAAGGTTTCCTGGATTTGATGATGCTTGAGCTGAGCCTTGTAGAATGAGTAACTAGATAGGAGATGGGTGATTAGAAGAAAGATTAGCATATATTAAGGCATGGAATATTATTTAATTGTACTTTAGAAGTAATATGTTATTTAGAAGCAGATAAATAAATTACCTTCTTTAGAATATTGTACATAGAGATAAATATACAGAAAAGTCAGAACATTTCTAAATGGAATTGTTTTAATCACAAAGGAATTAGGAGTCGAAGCTGGCTTAACAAAATTATATATATATGTGTGTGTGTGTGTGTGTGTGTATACGTATGTATGTATGTTTGCATAATGAAAATAGCTTCCAACAAAATGTAACAATTTCCAAAATTCAGGTATATTTGGGAGTACAACATCATAGGAAATATTTGCAGGGCAGCATAATATGTGCCAAAAATATTATCTTATAAACCATTAGCTCTGGTATATGAAGCAGAGAAAATGAATTTTTAGAGATTCTATTATTGATTAGACTGAGGATTCATTAGGGGAAGAAGAGTAACATCTTCTATTGTAAACATTGATGATAAAGAGAATGTGTGGGTATATTTATATCATCAAATAAAATCTTAAAGTTTTATACTTTGTGGATGGAGGTTATGTCAACTTACTTCACTTGACCACTGTGTTGTAATGCCTACTTAATCATGAAAAAAGGTGTTAACTTCTCTTTCAACTTTTAGATTTATCTTCCAATTTTTGTTTTGTTTTTCCTGTATGTGCTCTTTATCCCTAGCTACAAGACATTCTTACCAAAATGTATTCGAGCAAAGATCCAAGACTATCACATTTTGACAAGGAAGCGAATAAGGTACAGATTTCGCAGATTTATTCAGCAGTTCAGCCAATGCAAAGCCACTGCCAGAAACTTGAAACTTAAGTATCTTATAAATCTGGAAACTCTGCAGTCTGCCTTCTACACAGAGAAATTTGAAGTAAAAGAACCTGGAAGTGGTCCTTCAGGTGAGGAGATTTTTGCAACCATTATAATAACTGGAAACGGTGGAATTCAGTGGTCAAGAGGGAAACATAAAGAAAGTGAGACACTGACAGCACAGGTAATCCTTAATGATATGTTCTCATTTTTTTGTAATTTTAAGTAGAATGGAAATAAAAACAAAGTAATTTTAATCATTTGCAACATGGTCTTGCACTTCTCCCATTTGATAGAAGTGGAAGTTTTTAATAGTGTGAAGCCATCAAGGTCATATATTTCTTTTGCTGACTATTCATAAATGGTTTTTTTCATTTAATATTTTAGGACAAAATAATTAGCAATGGCTATATTATAGTTTCAGAAAGGTATCAAATTCTAAAAGTGATTTTAAAGGTCTTTTGCCTTTCTTTCACTATTAGTGGTAATAGAAGGCATAATTATAAAACTCATTAACTAGAAAATATTAATATTAATTGATTTTGTGATGTACACCTGTTAAATAATTTAATTTTTTAAGGTTCACATTGCAAATTTTAAGTTTGTTAATATCTGTGTTGTACATAGATTGTTACTAGAGATTTAGAGGGATTTGTTTTTTTATTTTTCATCTTTGGTAGTCACATTTCTAATTCTGGCAGTGGTTTCTACTAATGCTAATTGAATTGAAGAGTGCCATAGCACATTTTAGATTCCTGGCATCATTTAATGCTCTCATGTTTAAGTCAAGCAAGATAGTCTTAGGGTTAGACTGAGAGAGGAAATCACATTTAATGCTTATCTATTGTTATGAGTACCTTTTTTATTTTAAATAATTTGGAAGAATGTTGTCTTCTTCATAACTATTGTTTTAAAATGGCTCCATAAATTCTACCTGCTTTTAATTATAGGATTTACAGTTGTATTGTGATTTTCCTAATATTATTGATGTCAGTATTAAGCAAGCAAACCAAGAGGGTTCAAATGAAAGCAGAGTTGTGACTATCCATAAGCAAGATGGTAAAAATCTGGTAAGTTTGCTTTATGATTGATTAATGGTTTCATTTTACAGTTCTCAGAAATATGTATTTTAGAATCTTAGTACCAAAATTATTTTCTTATAGGAATTTTGATTGTAGTTAAATATAACTCTTAAACATAAACATCCATTCAGTAAACTTTTTGATAGCATCTAGCTTTTTGTATTACTGTCACCATTTTCCTACAGAGTTTCTTGTACTATACAGTACTTTTTTTTGAGACGGAGTTTTGCTCGTTACCCAGGCTGGAGTGCAATGGTGCGATCTCGGCTCACTGCAACCTCCGCCTCCTGGGTTCAGGCAATTCTCCTGCTTCAGCCTCCCGAGTAGCTGTATACAGTACTTTTTAAACTCATATTTATGATTAGCAAGGCACCAGTTACTTTTTCCCCCATCTCTAGATTATACTAGTTCCCTGATGTAATGCTCACCCCTGACTAAAATATTTTATCAACAGGGATGTATGTGTGCTACTTATACTGCCTAATTAAAGGAGAAAAGTAAAACGATACTGTCTGGAATTTATATAACAAAATGTAAACCAATTCCAGGTCAGCCCCACTCAAGCTGTAAGATATGGTTGATTCTAAAAGATTAACCCTTTCTCTTTCTTTAAATAGCTTCAGGAATCTAATTTACTTTAATGTAAAGGGAAGAAATGAATTATTTTATGCTTTGCTCTTAAGTTTCTTATTTATCTGGCTCTGTCTTCTTTTTAACTCAGATGCTTCTTGACCCTTTCTGGCTTGAACTAATCATATTAATGTTATTTGTCTATTTATCTTAAGTATATATACAGCTTACCTGTTTGACTGTTCCAGGGTTATATTACCAAAATTATAACTAACTTGCACCTCACTTTATTCAGCCTAGTTTTCTGTTCTTAGATAAAAATATGATAGTGTACCTACTGCTTAGTAGACTGTGAGCCTCTTGAAATATTGTATTTTTATGTGTGTTTGTACTCCCTACACCTTACCCAGTGTTCAGGCCCTAGTTTAGAAAAAGTTTGATAAATATTTTATGGACTCATGAAAGGATGATTAGTAATTATCAACCCCATTGTAGATCTATAATAAATGTTTCTGGGATAGTTTATTGATCCTAATGTGAACATCCTGTGGTAATCTAATGAACTCCTCTATGGGATTGTATTTGGACTTGGCTTAATTTTTAAGTCTGCAATACAGAGAAGTTAAGTAACTTTCCAAGGGCACAGTGTTGGTTAAGTGGTAGGGCTATTTAAATTCAAATGTATGATTTGAAAACCTAAGCCCTTAAGTGTGACACTACCTTCTCTGCTGACTATTCATAAGGCTCCTTAAAAAAATTATACTGACAATTTGTTGGAATTGTGTAACAAATAGAGAAGAATTGACATTTCTTTCTCATATTAAGTTTTCTGTTCTAGGGATACATTGTATTTTTCCTTGTACCCAAGTATTATTTTATGTTTTTCAGTAATTCTTGGATCATTTTATTTATATTGATACATCATGTTTCTTGCTGAATTTTATTCATGATATGTTATGCCTTTTCTGTTTATTCAGATGAGTAACTTTTTCTCTGTATATTTCCCTCACCAAATTATGTATGGATATAGGAGATAAAATTTTTGCTTATTATTGCATTTTCACAAGTCTATTCTGTGTTAGTAACATTTTGTTTTTAATCATTTTCCTCTTCATTCTGGCATTTATTTTTTTATAATTTTGGTAAAATATAAAATATATATAATATAAAATTTAGCATCTTACTCATTTTTAAGTGTACAGTTTAGTAAAGTATATTCACATTGTTGTGCATCCAATTTCCAGAACTCTTTTATCTTGCAAAATTGAAGTCTACACCCATTAAATAACGACTCACCATTTCCTTCTCTTCCCGCTCCTTGCAACCACCATTCTACTTTCTTATTCTATGAATTTGACTACTCTAGATACCTCCTATAAGTGGAATCAAACAATACTGTCTTTTTGTGACAGGCTTGTTTCACTTAGCATAGTGTACTCAAGCCCCATTTGTATTATAGCATGTATCAGAATTTCCCTCGTTTTTAATATATACATGTATTCTGTTGTGTATTTATCACATTTGTTTATTCATTTATCCATCAATGAATATTCAGGTCGCTTTTTAACTTTTTTACTATTGTGAGTAATGCTGCTCTGAACATGGATGTAAAAATATCTCTTCAAGATTCTGCTTTCAATTCCTTTGAATATATACCTTCTATTAGTCCATTCTTACATTGCTGTAAAGATACTACCGGAGACTGGAGAATTTATTTTAAAAGGGTGACTTACAGTTCTGCTTGGCTGGGAGGCCTTAGGAAACTTACAATCATGGCAGAAGGTGAAGGGGACGAAAGGCATGTCTTACATGGCAGCAGAAGAGAGAGTGCACAGGTGAAAGTGCCACTTTTAGACCATCAGATCTCATGAGAACTACCTCACTATCATGAGAACAGCATGGGGGAAACCACCCCCATGATTCAGTCATCTCCCATCATGTCCTTCCCTCTACATGTGGGGATTACAATTTGAGGTAGATTTGGGTGGGGATACAGAGCCAAACTATGTCATACCTAGAAGTAGAATTGCTGGATCACATGGTAATTCTACTTGTAATCTTTTAGGGACCCACCATGCTATTTTCTGTAGCAGCTGCACCATTTTACATTCCTACCAGGAGTGTATTCTCTACATGCTCATCAAAACTTGTTATTTTCTGTTTTCTGATAGATAGTAGCCTTCTGATGGGTGTGAAGTAGTATCTCATTGTGATTTTGATTCACTTTTCCCTAATGATTAGTGTTGCTGAGCATCTTTTCATATATGTATTGCCATTTATGTATCTTCTTTGGAGAAATATATATAGTCAAGTCCTTTGTTCATTTTTTTTTCGCTGAATTATAGAAATTTTTTGTGTATTCTTGATATTAATCCCTTTTCAAATACATGATTTGCAGGTATTTCTCCCATTCCATAGATTGCATTTTCTCTATGTTGCTTGTGTCCTTTGATGCACAGTTTTAGTTAGTTCAACTTTTGTTGCCTGTTTTTCTTTCTTTTTACGTTTTTGTTGAGATGCAGTATCAACACAGTAAAGCACACTAATCTTACGTGTATAGCTCAGAGAGTTTTTACATATTTGTACATCTGTGTAGCCACACCCACCTCAAAAAATAGAATAATTCTCTTACTCCTAGAAAGTTTCCACATGTATCTTTCCCGTTATTCACCTCCACCCCCTAACTTCTACCGTCAGTTTTATCTATTAATAAAGGTTGTATAAATGGAATGATACTGTATGTATTCTTTTAAAAATCTAGATTCTTTTACTTAGTATAATGTCTGAAGATTCATTTATGTTGTAATATGTGTCAGTTCTTTTTTTTTTTTTTTTTTTTTTGACAGAGTCTTGCTCTATTGCCAGGCTGGAACGCAGTGGTGTGATCTTGCCTCACTGCAATCTGCACCTACCAGGTTCCAGTGATCCTCCTGCCTCAGCCTCCCGAGTAGCTGGGGTTACAGGTGTACACCACTACGCCCAGCTAATTTTTGTATTTTTAGTAGAAATGGGGTTTCACCATGCTGGCTAGGATGGTCTCGATCTCCTGACCTCAAGATCCACCCATCTTGGCCTCCCAAAGTGCTGGGATTACAGATGTGAGCCAGTGTGCCCTGCCAGTTCGTGCCTTTTTATTGCTAGGTAGTACTGAATTGTTTCATTATGTATCAGATTGTTAATTTATTCTGTTTGGGTTATTTTCAGCTCAGGGTTTTTAGGGATAAAATTACTATGAACATTCTTTATTACATATTTTTGGTGGACTTACGCACTCAATTTTTTGTGGAGAGAGATATATATATATATACACACCTAGGCATTGGATTATTGAGTCATAGCGATAGCTTTGATATACTACCAAACAATTTTTTGTAGTTCTGTCAGTTCGCTCTTCCTTCAGTAATGTGTGAAAATTACAGTTGTCTCGTATCCTCATTAACTCTTAATTTTGTCAGTCTAAAAATGGCTTAGTGTATCTGGTGGATGTGTACTGGTAGCTCACTGTAGTTTTCATTTTCATTGCCCTGGTAATGATGTTGAATACTTTTTCGCTTATTGTTTTTCGAATATCCTTCTTACAAAGTGCCTGTGATAGTAGTAGAGTCTCTATAGATCCTGGGTATATGTCTTTTGTAGGATATTTGTAAAATGTATATAGGCATACATCAGAGATATTGCTACTTCAGTTCCAGACCATTGCAATAAAGCAAATATTGCAATGAAGTGAGTCACACAAATTTTTTGGTTTCTCAGTACATAGAAAAGTTAAGTATACTATAATGGAGTCTATTAAGTATGCAACATCATGATATCTTAAAATAAGTTAAAACACTTTATTGCTAAAAAATGCTAATGATAATTTGAGCCTGCAGAGTTATAATCTTTCTGCTTGTGGGAGTATTACTTTGATGTTGACGGCTGCTGACCGATTAGGGTGATGGTTGGTTAACATTGGGGGTGGCTGAAACAATTTCTTAAAATAAGGTAACAATGAAATTTACTGCATCATTAGACTCTTCCTTTCGTGAAAGATGTCTCTGTAGCATGTGATGGTGTTTGGTAGCATTTTACCTACAGTAGAATTTTTTTCAAAATGAGTCAGTCCTCCCAAACCCTGCCACTGCTTTATCTACTAAACTATTCTAAATCCTTTGTTGTTGTTTCAGCAACATGCACAGCATCTTTACCAGGACTAGAATCTATCTCAAGAAACCATTTTTTTTTTTGCTCTTGCATAAGAAGCAACTCCTCATTTGTCCAAGTTTTATCATGAGGTTGTAGCAATTCAGTCACATCTTCAGCTCTACTTCTAATTCTAGTTCTCTTGCTATTTCTACCACATCCTTGTGACTTTCTCCATTGAAGTCTTGAACCCCTCAAAGTTATCCATGAGGGTTGGAATCAACTTCTTCTAAATTCCTGATAATGTTAACACTTTGATCTTCTTCTGTGAATCACTAGTGTTCTTCCTGGCATCAAGAATGGTGAGTCCTTACCATAAATTTTTCTGTTTACCCAGGTCCATCAGAGGACACACTAAGTAAGGCAGCTTAGCCTTACAGAATGTATTTTTTAGATAATAAGACTTGAAAGTTGAAATTGCTTTTTGATCCATGGGCTACAGAATGAATGTTGTGTCAGCAGGCATGGAAATGACATGAATATCCTTTTACAGCTCTGTCAGAGCTCTTTTTTTGCTGAGCAGATCTCAACAATGGGCTTAATATAGTAAACTGAGCCAGATGTGGTGGCTCATGCCTGTAATCCCAGCATTTTGGGAGGCTGAGGCAGGTGGATCCACAGGGTCAGCAATTTCAGACCAGCCTGGCCACCATGGTGAAACCCTGTCTCTACTAAAGGTACAAAAAATTAGCCAGGCATGATAGTGCGAGCCTATAATCCCAGCTACTTAGGTGGCTGAGGCTGGAGAATTGCTTGAACCTGGGAGTTGGAAGTTGTAGTGAGCTGAGATCATGCCACTGCACTCCAGCCTGGGTGACAGGGTGAGCCTCCATCTCAAAAAAAAAAAAAAAAAAAAGTAAACCATGCTATAAACAACAGATGTGCTGTCATCCAAGCCTTGTTCCATTTATAGTGTACAGCCAGGGTAGACTTAGTATAATTCACAGAGCCTTAGGACTTTTGGAATGGTAAACGAGCACTGGTTTGAATTTTAAGTCACCAGTGGCATTACATTAGCCCTCGGCAAGAGAGTTAGCCTGTCCTTGGAAGCTTTGAAGCCGAGCACTGACTTCTCTCTAACTGTGGAAGTCTTAGATGGCATATTCTTCCAGCAGAAGGCTGTTTTGTTTACATTTGAAAATCTTGTTAGTGTCACCATCTTTATCAGTGATCTTTGCTAGATCTTCTGGATAACTTGTGGTAGCTTCCACACTTTACCTTGCACTTAGGCTGTGGACATGGCTTCTTTTCTTAGATCTCATGAACTAACCTCTGGTTGCTTCCAACTTTTCTTCTGCAGCTTCCTCACCTCTCTCAGTCTTCATAGAATTGAAGAGCATTAGGGTCTTGCTTTAGATTAGGCTTTGGCTTAAGGGAATGTTGTGGCTGGTTTGATCTGTCTAGACCACTCAGACTTTCTCGGTATCATCAATAAGGCTGTTTGACTTTCCTATAATTTATGTGGTCACAGGAGTAGCACTTTCAGTTTCCTTCAAAGACTTTTCCTTTGCATTCATAACTTGCCTTTTTAGTGCAAGAGACCTAGTTTTCAGCCTGCCTTGGCTTTCAACGTGCCTTCCTCACTAAGCTTAATCATTTCTAGCTTTTGATTTACAGTGAGAGACAGGTGAATCTTCCTTTCACTTGAATACTTACAGGCCACTGTGGGATTATTAATTGGCCTAGTTTCATTATTGTTGTGTCTGAGGGAATGGGGAGGCCTGAGGAGAAGGAAAAAGAAAGCAAATTAGCCATTTGATGGAGCTGTCAGAACATATACAAATTTATCACTTTAGTTCACCATCTTATATAGGCCCAGCATATCGTGCCCCGAAATAATTACAGTTGACCCTTGGACATCACAGGTTTGAACTGTGTAGGTGCACTTACTTGCAGTTTTTTTTTTTCCAGCCAAACATGGATGGGAAATATAGTAGTCACAGGATGCGGAACCCGTATATACGTAGGGTTGACACTTTGTATATGGGGGTTCTGCAGGACTGACTGCAGGACTTGAATATGGTCAGATTTTGGTATATGCAGGGGTCCTATAACTAATCCCCCTTGTATTCTGAGGGACATCTGTACAATAGTTACATCAAAGGTCATTGATCACAGATCACTATATCATGTATAATAATAATGGGAAAGTTCAAATTTTGTGAAAATTTCCAAAATGTAACAGAGACAGGAAGTAAGCATATGCTATTGGAAGAATGGCACCGATAGACTTGTGCTTGCTCCACGTAAGTTTGTCAGAAACCTTCAATTTATATGAAAAAAATGCCGTATCTGGGAACAGCAGTAAGGGGAAGTGCAGTAAAACAAAATGTGCATGTATATCACTAGGAGAGATACCAGTTAGTGAACTGCTAGTTCAAAGGGTGTGAATATTTACAACTTTCATAGAGACTATTAAAGTACTTCTCAAATGGTGTTTCCAATGTATCTGTACACCTCTCTTCTTGTACCCTTTGCCAACATTGGATGTTATCAATCTTTTAATTTTTCTGCCAAATCAATGGGTAAAACAATGCCATCCTGTTGTATTTCATTTCCTTAATTAGAACCTGAAATTGAGCAATACCTCATGTGTTTATTCTTCTGTCAACTGCCTTTTCATATCCTTTGACTAGTTTTCTTTTTTTTTTTTATTGCATTTTAGGTTTTGGGGTATATGTGCAGAGCATGCAATACAGTTGCATAGGTACACACATGGCAGTGTGTTTTGTTTGCTTTCTCCCCTTCACTCACATCTGGCATTTCTCCCCAGGCTATCCCTCCCCACCTCCCCCTCCCACTGGCCCTCCCCTTTTCCCCCCAATAGACCCCAGTGTTTAGTACTCCCCTTTCTGTGTCCATGTGTTCTCATTTTTATCACCCGCCTATGAGTGAGAATATGTGGTGTTTCGTTTTCTGTTCTTGTGTCAGTTTGCTGAGGATGATGTTCTCCAGATTCATCCATGTGCCTACAAACGACACGAACTCATCATTTCTGATTGCTGTAGTTTTCTTTTTAATTGTTTTATAGGTTTTATTCCCATAGTGTGTGTTGGGTATAATCTTTTGTTGTACATGTTTGTAATCTCCAAGTCTTTTAATTTCATTTAGGATATCTTTTATCGTACCTGTTTTTTTTTTTTTTTTTGGCTAGTTGTGTTAACTAAACACCTGTTATAGTTCAAACATGTTATACGCGTGTCTCCTTACTATAATTTTTGGTTTAGGACCCTATTCTGTATTCCCTTTATGATTATGAAATATTTTGTTCATTGCTGGGCCAAGAAATATGTTGTGATCACATTTTCATTCTTATGTAACTTTTTCCAGGAGTTAATTATTGCTTTATGGTTTTTCCTTTGTATCTAGCTTTATTTTCATTTTCTACAAGAACTCTGTAGTGTACTTCTTAATACAGTATTTCACATAATCAAACCTGTCAAATATTAAAGCATTTTTACATCGTTTCTGGAGAAGTACCTCCTCGATCATACTATCTTACTTTACAGTCTGGACTGGAAGCTCTCTAGGTACAGCTTTATTTTGTACAGCTATAATTTTTGGTCATTCCTTTCTTATCCTGGTAACTATCTTTTTATCTCTCTTATATTGGATCTGATTTTCTGAATCTTATGTTTGCCCTGTTTTTGTAGGTACAGCCTCTGGTATCTGTTGGTATTTTTATTGTGATTGAGACAAATTAGAAAATTACTTTAGAGAGGATTTTTACATTTTTATGATACTGAATTTTCCTACCAAGAACATGATTAATCTTCTGTATATTTAAATAAAAAGTTTCATCTTTCAAGAGTGTTTTAAAGTTTTTCTAACAATGATTTTGTTAATTTTTGATATTGCATTCTTTTTGTTATAAATGGGGCTTTTTTTTCATTATATAATGGACTTTTTGTATGTAAAAATTAAGTATTTTTATATATATATGTATTTTCCCATTTAAGTAACATACTGCATTTTAGACTGATATGTTCACATATGTATTAAGATACAATCAGGGAGGGCGAGTGGCTCACGTCTGTAATCCCAGCACTTTGGGAGTCCAAGCCTGGTAGATCATGAGGTCAGGATCAGCCTGACCAACATAGTGAAACCCCGTCTCTACTAAAAATACAAAAATTAGCTGGACGTCTTGGTGTGTGCCTGTAATCCCAGCTACTTGGGCAGCTGAGGCAGAAAAATTGTTTTAACTTGGGAGGCAGAAGTTGCAGTGAGCGGAGATCACGTCGCTGCCCTCCAGCCTGGGTGACAGAGCAAGACTCTGACTCGGGCAGGGGGAAACACAGCTTAGTGACATATCCTAACCTTTTAGTTTGTAGCATCAATACTTTAACTTTAGCGGTATATAATTGGTATATAAGGGTGTATAAGGCTAATGCGGTGGCTCATAGCTATAATCCCAGCACTTTGGGAGGCCAAGGTAAGTGGATCACTTGAGGTCAGGAGTTGGAGACCAGCCCGGCCAACATGGTGAAACCTTGTCTTTACTAAAAATGGAAAAATTAGCTGGGCATGGTGGCACATGCCTGTAAATCCTAGCTACTCATAAGGGTGAGGTAGGAGGATCACTTGAGCTTGGGAGGTGGAGGTTGCAGTGAGCCAACAGTAGGCCAGTGAACTTCAGCCTGGACAATGGAGCAAGACTCTGTCTCAAAAAAAAAAAAAAAGAAAGAAAAAAGAAAAAAAATTGGTATTTAAAAATAAATGGTCATCATTTCTAATGCCAACTTTTATATCATATTACATAGATTTCTAGCTGAGATAACTAGTATGTTAGTCTAAGAAGTATATTGGAAAATAAAGTAAAATGATGGATACAGAGTGAACTATAACTGGGAAGGTATGATTGTATTTAGGAGGATGTTAAATATCATACATAAGAATTAAATATCAGACTGAGCCATAAAAGACGTGAACAATTTAGAAGACATTTTAATTAGGAGAATTATTCTAAAAACATGAAATGAAGAAAATTTTCAATATTTAACATGCAGTTGACTTTCTGAAAGATGTGGTTTCTTTTTCTTTTCTCTGATTAGGAAATTGAACTTAGCTCATTAAGGGAAGCTTTGTCTTTTGTGTCATTAATTGATGGATATTATAGATTAACGGCAGATGCACATCATTACCTCTGTAAAGAAGTAGCACCTCCAACGGTGCTTGAAAATATACAAAGCAACTGTCATGGCCCAATTTCGTGAGTAATATAGACCTAAAAGTAAATGATATATTTACAAAGAAAAGTTAATATAACAGAGTGATACATGTATGTTTAGGAAAAAAATAATTTGACAAGTTTTTTTAAACAAAAGCCTATTTGCAATCAGATTACATTGTAATTAGAATTATTTAGTGTATAATTTACCATCTATATCCTGGTCTATAATATTTATAACTGTAGAAGTTTAACAGTTGTTAATCATGCCCGTGTATGATTAATTCACTCTTGAGTGTTACTAAAAAAGACCTCCAATTTGTTTTATTAATTTTAAAATATTGCAAAGGAGTCACAGTGCAAAATTTGAAAATTCTCTTTTTTTGGATAGTCCATCTCTTTATACTGAAAGGTGCAAACACAAGATGTATATTTTGTTCACATTTCTAGATTAGTGCTATGTAGAACTTCGTGCAATTATGAAAATATTCTGTATCTGTGCTGTGTAACACAGTAGCCACTAGCCACATGTGGATGTCTTGTACTTGCGATGTGGCTAGTGCAACCATGGAACTGAATTTTAATTTAATTTTAATTTCTTTACATTTAAATAGTGACATGTGGCTAGTAACTATCAGATTGGCTCACACAGTTGAAGATCCTTACTTTAATGCAAGGTAAAGCCAGCTATCATGCATAACATCTGCTTGGCTTAAGTCCTAATGATCTCTCAGCTAGGTTGTGCTTTATGTTGATAACAGATTTAAATAACTTGAACAGAGGGAAAATCTGGGATCGTGAGCATATTATGTTCCCTGAATTTAACCTACCCCTAAATATTTGAGAAAATATATCTTGGGTTATATAAAAACTTGATTTAGTCTATGCTTAATATTTATTTAGTAATGAATATGGTTGCTATGAAAAAGCTGTACTCCTTGAACAATATGTCTCTAATTTACATGACATGTTTTATTTTTTAACACTCCTTGCCTTTATTCATGTATCCATCAATTCATTCAAACATTCTTTTACTTATATTTACTGAGTACCTACCATGTGCAAACATTGGATTGTATATTAGAAATAAGGTGATAAGTGAAAGGAAAATGATTATTGCTTTTGTATAGATTATATTTAGCTTTTCTTTCAAAAATTATAAAATTTCTTTCAAAATATAAAAAATTATATTTTGCAACTTCAGAAAACATCACACATTTTAAAAATCAGTAGTCTTTGCCAGTTGCCATGAGTCTTCTCTTAGAATTTGTTATCATACTTAATAGTAAAATCATGCATTCAGATTTTTATGTCAGTAACTGCTATGGTAGAAGAGATGGAAGTATTTTCTGATGTATTATCTGTATAGTTAAATGAAGTTTTCTGAGAATGAGTATAGTTTGAAAAATACTAACGTTGAAAGCAGGCAGAAAAATCAAATGAACAAATTGTTCTTTGTGATTTTGTCTTATAATACCTTTCACTGGTTTTTAAAGCTATATAATTGCCCCTTGTAGTGGTTTGAACTTACTGCAAAATAGCTTGGTACTTTGATTTTTTTCCACTGAAAGATTATTACTAAACATATAAAGTAGAGGAGACAATTCCGACAGTTTTAGATTTGACTTTTGATTTTTTTAGATGACATTTGGTCATAATATTATAGTACTTGCTATATTATCATTCAGATTGCTTCTTCTTTACCTTTAGAATGGACTTTGCCATCAGTAAACTGAAGAAAGCAGGCAATCAGACTGGACTGTATGTACTTCGATGCAGTCCTAAGGACTTCAATAAATATTTTCTGACTTTTGCTGTCGAGGTTAGTATGTCACATTTATTAGTGGTAACACTTTATTTAGTTCATTTGATTTCCTCTTCATATTGATTTACCATATTTCCTTTTTAATACTCAGAATTATAGCTTTGGATATGATAACTAGTATAATAATGCTTTATTTACCTCAGAGATTCTGCACAAATAAACAAGATGTAATTCCCAGGGTTTATATAAAAATTTAAAACAATTTATAATGTCTTTTTATATTGCATTTATTTTATTTTCTGATGTTTTGGTGTTACCAGTGTGTCAAAAGGTATTTCATCAAGTGTCTTTATTTTTTTGGAAAACTGGTAATCTTTATCTTATCATGTAGAACTAAATAAATTGGAAGCAAATTTTCTGTCTATTAACAGTGGTTACAGAATTAGAGAAAAATAGGGCAATAACAAAGAAACAGAAACATTAAAGTACTTTTAACTAGTGATTTTCTCATATTAAGAATATTGGTCTACAATGTATGTTTTGAAGGTAAAACTGCAATGAAGCCCCACTGTTAATACAGATCATCTTGGATCTCATTTATGATTATTTACTATCACTTATGAAGCAATTTCATGGTATAAATCCTAAGAAACTTGATAGCAGCTTTCAAATTTATCTTGCTTTTTAAGAATAAAGAATTTTATTATTCAGTTATTTAAATTTTCATAAAATAGAACTTAATTTAGCATATATAGAGGGTAGATTAATTACAGAAGGTAGGTTACTCCATCACCTTACCTTTGTGTAAAACTGTTAATCTATCCTAATTTCAAAGTATCTTCTTACTATAACAGATAATAGTATATTATATTCAAGTATCAATTCAAAATATCTATATATATTTTTTATGTTCACTGTATGTGCCAAGGCTAACGAGGGCTATGTATTAGACAGTTTATGCTATAGGCCTACTTTAAAGAAACTTATCTACTGGAGAAACAAAAATTTTAAAGTATACAAAAAAATTCTAAACCGAACATTGTAATTGTCTAGCATAGGCAAATACTGACAGTAACAAACAGGTTTACAATTATTAAGAAAGGTCATTTGGCATAGGAAGGACTTGATTGACCTTGAGGTAGTGGTAGATTTTATATAAATGTTTCTAAATAGAGTGAATGTGTTGATAAAATGCACCTTAAAAATAGATGAATAAGTTCTAAAACTGTAAAATATTAAAAATGTGCTGTTAAAGATAATTATACAAATACAATGGTGGTGCAGTGAAATGGCTGGATGTTCACCTTTGCCTGTGCAATAAGGTGAGCATTAGAGAGGACCTCATAGAAAAAGTGGTACTTGAACTGAGTTTTGATGATTAAATAAAGGTTCATTGCTCAGAAAAAGTGGGTATACATTTAGGTAGACAGATAGCATGAAGAGTTATCAAGGCATGAAGCAACATAGCAGTTGTTTGAAATGATTTAAGTCATTGAATATGGCTGGAAAACAGGTTGTATGTATGTTGGCAGTGGCAGGAGCCAAGATTGGAGATAGAGGCAGAAACCAGCTCATGGAAAGCTCTATATTGCTACATTCATTTTAGGCTTTATCTTACAAATGATGGAAAACTATTAAGGATGGTATTATTATTATTAATTATCATTTCCTTCTTACATGCTTTTTCATAAAATCAACCTTTAAACCACTTTGACAGGCTGAGAAATTGTGAATTGCCCTTTTGAGGAACGAAGTACTTCTATCACTAGAATAATCACTATGATGTCCATTGTGATTTCCTTCCCTTTCTTTATAATTAAACTTATACAGCGAGAAAATGTCATTGAATATAAACACTGTTTGATTACAAAAAATGAGAATGAAGAGTACAACCTCAGTGGGACAAAGAAGAACTTCAGTAGTCTTAAAGATCTTTTGAATTGTTACCAGATGGAAACTGTTCGCTCAGACAATATAATTTTCCAGTTTACTAAATGCTGTCCCCCAAAGCCAAAAGGTAAAATAATTTTCCAGTTATTTTAAAATTACTGGTCATGGATTGTGTATATGATGTGAAGTATCTTCAGTACACTGATTTCAAAGGATATATGAAAGAAGCAGCTCTAAAAGTCAATTTTACCTTATTCTCTTGTACAAGCTTCAATCAAATAAGATTGTTTACTTTGACTTCAGTGGTCTAGAAGTGACCTGAAGTTCAATTATTCTAAAATAAGATTTTAAGGATAATAATTGTGTGGTATAATGTCACTTATTTATTGAGCTGGAAGACCTCACTACTAAATTCTCATGTTGTTGTAAGTAGAAATTTTCATATTCTTTGAGGATTTTTTTTTTTGAGACAGAGTCTTACTCTGTTGCGATCTCCGCTCACTGCAGCCTCCACCTCCTGGATTCAAGCAGTTCTCCTGCCTCAGCCTCCCGAGTAGCTGGGACTACAGGCACGTGCCACCATGGCCAGTTAATTTTTGTATTTTATTAGTGGAGACGGGGTTTCACCATGTTGGCCAGGATGGTCTCGATCTCTTGACCTCGTGATCCGTGCCTTGGCCTCCCAAAGTGCTGGGATTATAGGCGTGAGCCACAATTTCTGTATTTTTAAAATAAAGATAGTAAAATTGGAAATCTCTTGAAATAATGAGGCTTATTATTAAAAGTTATTAAAATTCCTGAAAAATGATATGAGTTAAAGAAATGACTATAATTTTGAATTAATGAAATAACTGGCAGGAATACATCAAAATTCAAATTACATTAATTAAGGAAATGATCATAATTTTGAATGTATTAAGTAAGAATAATACATCAAAGTTCAATGAGTTGACCTTTAAAATAATCTTCTGTTATTATAAAAAATGAGCAGTTAAGCATTTCTTATATATAGAACACATTTCATTTTACTCTTTTATTTTCAATGTATTTTGACATGATATATATGTATTTTATTTTTTCAGATAAATCAAACCTTCTAGTCTTCAGAATGAATGGTGTTTCTGATGTCCCAATCTCACCAACATTACAGAGGCATAATAACGTGAACCAAATGGTGTTTCACAAAATTAGAAATGAAGATTTGATATTTGTAAGTCATTAGATACTGATTACTATCTTTTTTGTCCTTTTAAAGCAACAGCTGTTTTCTTGATTTACATTCAGGTGACATTTGGAACTATTTTGTTATGCCATATACAAATTTAGTTGTGATTTAAGTATTTTTCTTAGGAAAAATATACACATTTCATGTTAGAAGTAAGCAAAATTAATTATCATAAGAATGGAATTTAAAATTTCTTTTTGGAAATTTAAAAATGATTCTTCACAAATCTTAAATTAAAAATTAAAAATCTACAAAAATTTATATCTTAACTCTCAAGTTCTCAAGAAAGGGGAATTCAGGGGATTAAAAATGAGAACAAAATTCAGTCATCTCTGTGTCCTTGAGGGACTGGTTCCAGGATTATGCTTGGATACCAAAGTCCGAGCATACGTAAGTCCTCTATTTATTTATTTTTTAGAGGTGGGACTTGCCCTATCTCCCAGGCTGGAGTGCAGAAATACTGTATTTTCCATCTGGGTTTCTTTGCAGATGCAGAACTGCCTTGCCAGTACAGAGGGCACACTGCATTTACTGAAAAAAAAAAAAAAAATTCACATATAAATGGAGCCGTGTACCCCAATCCCATGTTGTTTAAGGGTCAACGGTAGTACCTAAGATCTGATAATTTGGCTGCCAGCTGGTTAGGATTGGTGATTAGCCACACTTATCAAGGGGGTTAAGATTTAAAAGGGCCATGTCTCAGACTTGTGCAAGGCCAGGAGTTAAAAGTGAGACTATCCCTGAATAAAACCAGGACTATTAAGTAAATACATCCTCAGTAAAACAATATATACAATGTGAAAAATTCACTCACGGACAAGCAGAGAAGAAAAGCAATGTCATCACTTTTAATTGGGCTTCTAGTGAGGAAAAGGATTCTTTCATAAGAATTTGTCATCATAAGCTTTTGAATTTGGGCTTCATTATCCTACCTACATAGACTGAGAAACTCTACATTAAAAGTGGTACTCTCCTAATATTGTGTGGTTCTTGAAAAAAACAAATACAAAATCTTTTTGGAACCATATACTCTTAACCTAGGCAACCCATGATTTCCACAGATAAAACCATTCCAAACATGAGCTTTTAATAGAAAATTTAGAAACATACGAAGATGCAGGAGGAAGAGTCAGCAGACCAACAAACATCAAAATTAGAACTCCAGGAACTTCCTGTCACAGAATTTTCAGATACAGACTATAAAATACATATGAATGTTTAAAGATAGAAAAGGAATTGAAAACATGGAGAAATAAGAAGATATTGTTTTAACAAACAAAAAAAAGATTTCAGGAAAAAAAGCATAGAAATTATAAATATGCTCATTGACATTAAAACAATATACAGGTTGAAAAGGAAATTACTTATAGCTGAAGCAAGAATTAGTGAATTGCAAGATCTGAAGAAATTATTAAGAATGCAGCAGTTAGGGAGAAAGAAATGGAACATATGAAAGAGGATTAAGGGACATGGAAGGCATTATGAGAAAGACCAACTGATATCTGAGCTCTGTAAGGAAACAATAGAATTAGCCAGAATGATAAAGACAAGAATCCTCATGTGAGTAATAGGAAACAGAGCAGCTAGGTAACTTGACTAATATTAAAAAACTAATAAATAGTGGAGCTTGGATTTGAACAAAGGCAGCCTTACTTCAGAGTGCAGGCTTTCAACAATTACTTTATAAAGATATGCAAGAAATACTAGTACTAGTGGTAATAGCTAACACTTAATGCACATTTACTATTATCATGACTGTACCAAGTATTTTTATGTATTTATTCACTTACTGTTCATAACAATCCTATGGGAAAAATAGTTACTGTTCTCATTTTTCACATGAAGAAACCAAGACAGCTGTAGCACAGAGATAAAATAGCCTGTACAAGGTCATACAACTAGTAAGTGATAATAAGAAAAAGTCAGATATTCTGCCTCTATAGACCACACTCTATTGCACTAGTAGGAAAGGCAAACAAATGATTCTCATGTAAGCAAATGTAGGTAAACAATGACTCTATTTTTTTAAAAGTGATAATTATAGCCCATTCAGGAAATTTCAAAACCGAGTTGAGTCAAAATACACTTAATTCATCAATCCTTGTTTTCTGTCTCTTATTACTAATTAAGGAAGCAGAGTAAAAGAATTAATTTGGAGTCTCAAATCTGGGTTTAGATTGTAAGGGAAATACTTGCTTATGGATTAAAAAAATTCTTCCTCATTGAACATATTTTCTTGTACCGACTTCTTTCTCCATCTTTACTCATTCTTTTCTCTTACCCTTTTCTCTTGAAGAATGAAAGCCTTGGCCAAGGCACTTTTACAAAGATTTTTAAAGGCATACGAAGAGAAGTAGGAGATTATGGCCAACTGCATGAAACAGAAGTTCTTTTAAAAGTTCTGGATAAAGCACATAGAAACTATTCAGAGGTGTGTATGTTCTTTATGTAATTCATTTAGTTTATGCGGTTTAAAGATGTGCTCTCATGTGTATACAATGTACTCGTGTGTAGCTTTCCAAAATTGTTAATTTTTAAATATGTCAAGGACTTTTCTGAGGATATATTCTTGTGGGGCTACAGAATTACAGGGTTTTAAAATTATGGAATTGTTTAAAAAATGATAACATGGGGAAAAATGCTGGATATAGATGAAGGGGGAATGGAGGCAACAAACCACCTGGTTATGTATGCACCGATGCAACAACCCTGCATGATCTGCACATGTACCCCAGAACCTAAAGTACAATAAAATAATAATAATAATTCCAAACAAATTATGTTTAGCATTATGTTTGGAGTGTTATTACATTTCTGCATATACTGTGGCCATGATTTTCAAACTTGGCTCTGCAGGGCTTTCTTTATGGTTTACACAGAAGTTCTTCTATAATTTCATTTATTTAAAAAAAAAAAGGTGTGAAAGGCACTGTACTAAGGAACATTCTTAGTGAATCTGGATGCCTCTGGGCTTCATTCAGAGATGCTAGCAGGCAGACCATGTGGGCAGTTGCCAGAGCTCTGAACATAGCAAGATATGATAGTTACAATATCTTAAAGGGTGTTAGTGGAAGATTATGTGAAAAATTCAAGCCAAAGAGTTGTTCTAATCCGGAACACCACAGTATTGGTAATTATGATTAACTGAACAATCATACCCAGGGGTTTTAGTCAAAGTTTAGTTGAATTAAAGTGAAGTTAAAACTATGCTAGTATCCTGACACAGATGTCATGATATTTTATCTGCACATTCTTTTTTTTTTTTTTGAGACGGAGTTTCGCTGCTGTTACCCCGGCTGGAGTGCAATGGTGCAATGCAATCTCGGCTCACCACAACCTCCGCCTCCTGGGTTCAGGCAATTCTCCTGCCTCAGCCTCCTGAGTAGCTGGGATTACAGGCACACGCCACCATGCCCAGCTAATTTTTTATATTTTTAGTAGAGACGGGGTTTCACCATGTTGACCAGGATGGTCTCGATATCTCGACCTCGTGATCCACCCACCTCAGCCTCCCAAAGTGCTGGGATTACAGGCCTGAGCCACTGCGCCCAGCCTTATCTGCACATTCTTAATTCTTTAGAATTACTATTTAAAGGCTACATCCATCTACCTCAGTTCCCTCTATCTCTAATATCTACCTCTAGTTGTATGTACATCTGTCCTTGGTTTCAGATGTTACGGGTCAAGCCTGTTTGACTGGCATTATTCATGTTTCCTGTACCACTCTCATCTCTCACTTTGATTTCCATATTCCAGGCTTACCTGGGGGTTTCTTCAGAAGGTTGATGGCAGTTGCAGGTCCATATAAGGGGACCAAAGCACTTTTATGCCTACTTATAGTCATACTGAGAGTAGGAGAAAGTTCATCTTTATTATGGCAGAGAAATTTTTCTGAACTATGAGTACTTGTGGACAACAGTCAAACAGCAATTCTTGGTACTTTTTGTTTTTCTTTTCCTTAGTCTTTCTTTGAAGCAGCAAGCATGATGAGCCAGCTTTCTCACAAGCATTTGGTTTTAAATTATGGAATATGTGTCTGCGGAGAGGAGAGTAAGTAAAACTACAAGCTTTCTTATGCCTTTCTCAGAGCATCTATTTTTGTTTATATAGAAAATTCAGTTTCAGGATCACAGCTAGGTATCAGTGTAAACCATAATTTAACAGGAGTTAAATATTTTTGAAACTGAAAACACTGCAGAACTGTTCAGTTATATCTTGTGAAAAAGGAAACCAATGAAGGAAGTTAAAAGTAGAAGGTTACAATGCCCAAAAAATAGAGTATTATAGTACAAAAGTCTCTAACATTTTGTGTTCATGATAGCAAAAGAGATTATGGCAGGTTCAACATAACATTGGAATAACTGGCCTTTTCAGTACAAACTTACCTGGAATTATGAAGACAAAGCATATAATTTTTAATAGAGCTGAATGAAATGACTATGTTGATATGATACTAGATATATTTTTGGCTACATTTAGATTGTTCATAGAAACTACCAAAGATAGAAATTGTACCCCATGCTTTAATAGTATACAAGCGTGCCTCATTTTATTGCACTTTGCTTTATTGTTCTTATTATATTTTTTACATATTGAAGGTTTATGGCAACCCACTGTCTAGCAAGTGTGTCAGCAACATTTTTCCAACAGCATGTGCTCATTTCATGTCTCTGTGTCACATTTTGGTAATTCTGGCAACATTTCACACTTTTTAAAAAGTATATGTTAAGGTGATCTGTGATCAGTAATCTTTATTGTTAGTATTGTAATTATTTTGAGATGTCCCAAACAAAGTGAATGTAAGAAGGCAAACTTAATAGATAAATGCAGTGTGTGCTCTGGCTCCTCCATCAATTAGCTAGTCCTTTGTCTCTCTCCCTCTCCTGAGGCCTTCCTATTTCCAGAGACAACAATATTGAAATTAAGCCATTGAATAATCCTACAGTGGTCTTTAAATGTTCAAGTGAAAGGAAGATTCACCAGTCTCTCACTTTAAATCGAAAGCTAGAAATGATTAAGCTTAGTGAGGAAGGCATGCTTTTAAAAAAATACTTTTAAAAAGGTATATTAATTGATTTTTTTAAAGATATAATGGTGTTGCACACTAAATAGACTCCATTATAGTGTAAGTATAAGTTTCGTATGTATTGGCATACCAAGAAATTCATGACTTGCTTTATTGTGATATTTGCTTTATTATGGTAGTCTAAAACCAAACTGGCAATATATTGGAGGTATGCTTGTATTTTAGTGCCTGCCAAAGTTTACGTTCAAGAAAATTTATATAATTACCCATTTTTCACTAGTAATACAGATTATACATCTATACTTGTATAACATTTTTTCATGTCTTTGAAAATTGATAGTCTTTTCAAAAGCAGTGGTTTGGAACCTGTTATATGGAGGTATCTGAGAGGCTCCTGTGGACCACAAAGGAATCCAGGATTGTTTTTTGGAAGCCAGTATTTGTTTCTCTGGCAAGATATTTTATTTTATTTTTTTAAAGTTTTAAAGATAAAGCAGTACAAAACATTTTTGTATTTCTGCAGAATAAATTAAAAGAACAAATGGAGTTAGAACTCAAATTCTTCTTCATGTCTAAAATACTATAGACATTGTTAGTAATTTTTGTGTGTACAAGAACTTTAGGCAGGTTTGAATGTCTAAAAAGTTATGTGGAAGAGAAATCAAGTGAGAAATCTTCATTTATTTTTAAAAAGCAGCCATAATTCAGTACTAATGTATAGAGGTGTGCTGGTATAATATTATTATATTACACATTTATGTTACCGGTAATATAATAATATATAATTTGTACTCCTCTTGCTGTTGTAAGTAAGCTAAAAACCAAAGATATAATGCTGTGTATCCATTAAGTTTTCTTTAAAGTAGTGAGTTTTGCTTAATTTTGTTTACCTGTAATGTAAGTATAAATATATTTATAAAGATTTAAATTACATATATTTATAGTTATACTTAAAGCTAATTATTATCACTTGTATTTTAATGCAGATATTCTGGTTCAGGAGTTTGTAAAATTTGGATCACTAGATACATACCTGAAAAAGAATAAAAATTGTATAAATATATTATGGAAACTTGAAGTTGCTAAACAGTTGGCATGGGCCATGCATTTTCTAGTAAGTAGTATATCCTTTTTATTAAAAGATATTGTTTTATTTTATGAAACAATATACAAATTATCTTTGCCTGGAAACAAGAAATAAATCTGTACTTGGATGCCAATTCATGTTAAATAGTCTGTGTTAGATGATGAAAGAGGTTACTTGAGGCATATGTTTATTTATATAAAATCACTTTTGAAAAAACAGTTTTGTCATCCCATCAATATCTTAGAACTACTAATAGACAATCTCTATTTTGTGTCTCTTGGATTTAGAAAATTTAACCAAAAATTATGCAGAAACATCTGCTGTATATTTGGCCCATTGTACATTATGTCCATGAGAAAGCAGTGTTGTCAGAGAATACTAGAGGGCCTGCCAGTGATCAGACCCCTCAGGGTGCATCTATGTCCTGCTGCAGAATTGAAGTATTATTTCTTAATGTCAGCTCTATCCAGAAATACAAACCATGTCAGCCTTAGAACTCACGTGAAGTGTCACTGGGTAGTTTTAATTTATTCATTTCATCACAAGTGTAGATTATTATGTTATTTAAAATGTAAGACAGGAAGCATAGTTAGGAGTCATAAATTTCCTTCTTTTCTCAATGCATGCTTCCAAATTAATATTTATTATACTGTCTTGTATATATTTCTTCTTTAAATCTGTTTTGAGGACTTGAACATACTAAATGCTGAAATATTTGTGGATTGATAGTTGAATATATGTGTGTTTAATAGGAAGAAAAGACCCTTATTCATGGGAATGTGTGCGCCAAAAATATTCTACTTATCAGAGAAGAAGACAGGAAGACAGGAAATCCTCCTTTCATCAAACTTAGTGACCCTGGCATTAGTATTACTGTTTTGCCAAAGGACAGTAAGTTCTGTAGGAATACATATAATGTTACTGAGCTTTACTTGGGCAGTGGTGTAAAGAACATGTTGTTAATTTTCCTTGAACTCCATTTAATTAATATGTTCCTGATTAATAATAAAATTATCACTTTTAGCAATTTAATTTAAGTTAGTTAAATCTTAGTCTCTATTTTTCTTACTTATAAGCATATAACCATGGACTGTGAGGTGATTTTTTTAAAAACAGTTTTAATCTCTAATTATGTGTGAAGAGTAGGATTTTATCCATTTTTAATATGAAGTTTTCTAATATTCCTTGAGCCACAAGTAAATTTTCTAACTATTCTTCTAGTCACTAAATAAAAACTTATCTAGCCTGAGATCTTAGGGTGTTTTCTACCCTCTGTGAAGAAATTATTTAATTATCCAGCTAATTGTGAATCTTTAAAACCTTAAAAAGAAAAAAAAACCTTTCATTTGTATCTGTTAATCTTCACTACTTAACACAGTGTTAAAAATACAAATTTCAGTCAGATAGTTGAGAGGGGTTTTTTGGGGTCTAGATAATTGTAATTGAATTTTTTGTAACTTAGCTAATTTCTCTAATTGGATGTTCTGAATTTAGAATATAAATTGATCCATTTTTGTGCATTTATGTGTCCTATTTAAGTCAATAGTACTTAAACTTGATGCCTTATCTGACAGTGAAGACAGTCATAATTGGGCAGTAGTATAGGAGTATGGAGTATGGCAGAAAAATCTTACAGGGTCTTAAATCTGGTATTCTGGGAAATCTTATCCTTTGGAATGGGAAGTGAAGATGGAAAAAATGTATTCATATGGGGAAGGTATTTATCTGTCAATCAGTGTATTTGTCTGTCTGTCTGTCTGTCTATGTCAGAATACTGGAAACTAGAGTTATATTGCTTCCTCCTTTCTTGAATACTGTCTTTCTGGTGGAATCAAAGACCACAGAAACTTTACTTGGGAAATTCCATGATTTGAGCAGAGCCCACTTGTATCAATTCCATACCTAGAATATGTTGGTGTAATTTAGCCATTCATCCGCCATAAATGCCTGTTGGTCCTTTTTGTTGTTGTTGCTGTTGTTTTATCTGCAAGTGAGAATTGCCATGGCTATTAAATCATAAGGACATCCTGAATGATGTAACATTACCTTTACTACTTACGCATTGTAAAGAAATACCAAAAAGAATCAAGGGGCAATTTTAGGATAAACTAGATAGAAAAAAATTTGACTGTCTAGTGCAGTGGCTCATGTCTGTAATCTCAACACTTGGGGAGGCTGAGGCTGGTGGATAGCTTAAGCCCAATAGGTCAAAGCATAGTGAGCTGCCATCATGCCACTGCACTCCAGTCTGGGTGACAGAGTGACACCCTGTCTCAAAAAAACATTTTTTTTTGTAAGGTAAAACTAATGGAAAGAGGTTGAGAAAGTGATATGTCAATTGAGACACTATGGTTTAGTGGAAAGAAGATTAATTGATTCAGAATTCACAGTACAGGATTCTAGTTCTGTCTCTGCTGCTAACAAATTGTGTGCCTTTGGGCAGATTACTCAATTGTGTGTCTCCACATTGTCACTGTTAAAGATGAGGTATTGAATTAGATGATCTCAAAGGTCCCTTCTGACTCTTAAGTTTATGCAGTCATGTGCATGTGCATATCCATCCCCTCCAAAATAAAGAAAATAGACCTGATTATTCAAATGAACTTTAAGATATTTACATATAAAAGATTGGTTTACTTTCGAATTATTTAACCCTACTCTGTTCAAATCATTTAAAAGTTCTTCAGGAGAGAATACCATGGGTACCACCTGAATGCATTGAAAATCCTAAAAATTTAAATTTGGCAACAGACAAATGGAGTTTTGGTACCACTTTGTGGGAAATCTGCAGTGGAGGAGATAAACCCTTAAGTGCTCTGGATTCTCAAAGAGTAAGTTTATACAGATTAAGTTAGAATTACTCTATCTCTGAATCTTCATATTACTTTCACATGATTTGATATTGTTTAGCCCATCTAATTTTAAAAAGAAGGTTGGTGTGGCATTATACAATTTATTCCCAGTTTGTGGTTCTTTGATTATAGAAGCTGCAATTTTATGAAGATAGGCACCAGCTTCCTGCACCAAAGTGGGCAGAATTAGCAAACCTTATAAATAATTGTATGGATTATGAACCAGATTTCAGGCCTTCCTTCAGAGCCGTCATACGAGATCTTAACAGTTTGTTTACACCAGGTATGTATTTATGAAGTGATCTCACTGATTTTCCAGCTTTCTCTCTTTATATAATGACTCTTTACTAATTTTGTAATTCCTTTAAAAATTTTTCTTAATGTCATTTGGACCCTCTTAATTTCTTATGTTCGTATGCTTTTCATGATTTATACATATTCTAATCTTGACTGATATTAATTTTCATTTTTTTAAAAACAGGCCTTTTCTTTCAGTAAATTAATTTTAGTTTGCCATTTAATGAGTTATAAACTATAGTGTTTTTGTTTTGACTTAATTGACTTTTAAAAAGCAGTTCTTTTTGTTTTTAACATTTCTCATATATTTTATAATTGATTTTCTAAACATGAGCCTTATTTGTTTTGTTTTTTTCCTTTTTCAAAATACTGAGCTGATATACACGTGTTTGACCTATAGGTGCTTTCTACTCCAGTACTACTCAGCTTTCTCACAATAACTATCAGCATATTGCCTTACTTTATGAATATTAAAACTTATTTTGGAAAATAAATATTTATCCTTTGTAAAATCTCTCTTGAAAGCCTGTCAGACTATGGGTAATGATAAAAGGCTCCCATTAATATAATCTAAACTATTTGAGTTTCCCTGTATCATTTAGTATTTGTAACTCATGATTATTTTGGTCAACTTGAATGTATATCAGTTTACCCCAGAGAATACTATTTGCTAACTAAAGGCGTTAATATTCTTTATTTCTCCAGATTATGAACTATTAACAGAAAATGACATGTTACCAAATACGAGGACAGGTCTTTCAGGGTTTTCTGTTGCTTTTGAAGACAGGGATCCTACACAGTTTGAAGAGAGACATTTGAAATTTCTACAGCAACTTGGCAAGGTAAATTGTCAGAAGTTTTTCAAATACAGTATAATCATTTTATTTAGAAAAAATTAGAGAGTTTCTAAAGTTCACTTACTATATAACATTTTAAGGAGTGCTTGTAGAGGAAAAGGTTTGGTTGTCAGATGTTGGAGAAATGCTGTATTAAATAAACAGCTATCTTTACTGAATAACTTTTCAGAGGCTTTAACATGTAATGTGCATTGAAAGTCTTCAAAAGGTTGATAAATTAGGCAGTATTACTCAAATTGACTTGACCAAGAGACTGTTCCTTGATAGCAGGAGTTCATTATAAGTGATTCAGTGCAATAGAGAAAGGAACATACAAGCTTTTCTACCTGCCTGTCTGCCTGTAGTCATCTCAGGGAGAATTAATCAAACTTATTGCTTAGGGTCTAGGATTCTGACTGTGCCATATTCACTAGCAGAGTCTCTGACTATTAAAAGATCACACAATCATGTATAACCTACATATTGTAAGTAAGACCAGGAAATGCTCAGTTCTTAGACGGTCCAGTCATAGTAGTAAGCTCTCTCTTTCTCCCATAAGCTTGCTAGGATAAGGTTCTATATCATGTGGCCTTAGGAATTGGATTTTGGCGTGGACACAATATAAAGTTCTCACTTAGACCTTGTAATTAAGCTAAATATTTGAATCTAGTTTTACTAGGGTTATATTAAGTATTGGTTTAGTTATCTTAATACTTTGCTGTTGTTCCTGTTTGTAACATATTCTTGGAATATTTTCTTCTTTGAAGGGGGGGTGTAGCAAAGCCAACGAAACATACCAAGTCCAGTTATTTGGGTGTATTAGTTATCTTTTGCTGTATAACAAATCACCCCAAAACTTACAACTGAAAACATTTATTTTCTCCACTTTCTGTGAGTCAGGAATTTGGGAGCAATTTAGCTGGGTGGTTCTAGATTAAGGTCTCTCACAAGACTGTAATCAAGGTGTTAGCCAGGCCTTCCATCTCATCTTAAGGACTGACTGAGGGATCTGCTTACAATCTCACTCTACATGGTTGTTGACAGGATTCAGAAAATCTGCTTCCAGGGTCACTTACACAGACATCTCCATAGGACTGCTCACAACAGGGTAGCTGAGAGCAAACACCCAAAGTGGAAGCCATTGTCCTTTTATAACCTAATCTTAGCAGTAGCACCTTATCACTCTTGACATATTCATTTCATTACAAGCAAGTCAATAAATCCAGCCCATAATCAAGAAGAGGAGATGATAAGAGCATTACTGCTAGAAGGTAGGAAACATTGGGAAATATTTCAGAGGCCACATGCCTAACTGGCTTGTGAGAGACCTTGGTGATAATTCCATGTTAATAGCTTCAATTTATCAGTAGTATGCAATATATCCAAAATTTATTAGACCATAGAAACATTTTTAACCCTAATTAACTATGGACATTGCATGGAAAGTATTCTCTAGAACAGTTTGCTAAATGATACTTTAGACTTAAGAGTAATCTCTTTATTGTACAATTAGAAAAACTGAGGTCCAGAGATGTCATGTAATTGCCTATGGCCACAGCTAAATATTAGCAGATGTGAGATGAGGACCTTGTTTCTATACTCCTACTTCCATACTATTTCCACTGTTCTATATAGATTGTGTTTGGGTGAGTATGCTTCAGTTGCATTATATCATCTTCTATTGTTGTCTTTATAGGGCAAATCATTATATTTTGCCATTAAGACATAAAGGAAGTAATTTTTGTATTCCCACTTAGGGATACATTGTGATCACAAAGCAAACACTCATTTTTTTAATAGAAAAGGCAAAAATTAGTATAATATGAATTATTCATGGGTTTCTGGTTGAAATCCAGTTTAATTTGTTGTTAACTGTATGCCAATATTTTCATGACTAGAAACACTAATCATTGGATTCATGACTATAAATAATGGCTCATAAAAATCATGAAAACCTTAAAAATTATTTTCTCTGTGATCCCAAATAAAGCATTTAATGTTTCTAGTCCTTAGATCCAATCTTTAGTAGATATTATGATATCTCCCAGAATTTTTTTTTTTGTGGACTATAGAGAGTGTTTTAGAAAAGAAAGTCCATCTTATTTGACATAAAAGAAGGATAGTGAAATTCTATTATCTTCAGTTGACATGGGTATTTTCACTTAACTTTAAATTTTCTTCTAATATTTGTATCTTTTCTCAACTTTTTTTCTTTTTTTAAATTGTACTTTAGGTTCTGGGGTACATGTGCAGATCTTGCAGGATTGTTGCATAGGTACACACATGGCAATGTGGTTTGCTGCCTCCACCTCCGTGTCACCTACATTTGGCATTTCTCCTCATGTTATCCCTCCCCAACCTCCCCACTCCCCCACTGTCTCTCTCTTGGACCCCTGCAGCAGACCCCAGTGTGTAGTGCTCCTCTCCCTGTGTCCCTGTGTTTTCATTGTTCAAAATCTTCCTGTGAGTGAGAATATGTGGTGTTTGATTTTCTGTTCTTGTGTCAGTTTGCTGAGAATCATGGTTTCCAGATTCATCCATGTCCCTACAAAGGACATGAACTCATCATTTTTTATGGCTGCATAGTATTCAATGGTGTATATGTGCCACATTTTCCTTGTCCAGTCTATCATTGATGATCATTTGGGTTGCTTCCAGGTCTTTGCTATTGTAAACAGTGGTGCTATGAACATATGTGTGCATGTGTCTTGATAACAGAATGATTTATAATCCTTTGGGTATATACCCAGTAATGGGATTGCTGGGTCAAATGGAACTTCTATTTCTAGGTCCTTGAGGAAATGCCACACTGTCTTCCACAATGGTTGAACTAGTTTACACTCCCACCAACACTGTAAAAGTGTTCCTGTTTCTCCACATCCTCTCCAGCAACTGTTGTCTCCAGATTTTTTAACGATCACCATTCTAACTGGCATGAGGTGGTATCTCAATGTGGTTTTGATTTGCATCTCTCTAATAATCAGTATGATGAGCATTTTTTCCTATGTTTTTTGGCCTCATGTATGTCTTCTTTTGAAAGGTGTCTGTTCATATCCTTCTCCCAGTTTTGGATGGGTTTGTTCTTGTAAATCTGTTTTAGTTCTTTGTAGTTTATGGATATTAGCCCTTTGTCAGATGGGTAGATTGCAAAAATTTTTTCCCCTTCTTTTGTTTGCTGGTTCACTCTAATGATTGTTTCTTTTGTTGTACAGAAGCTCTGGAGTTTAATTAGGTCCCATTTGTCTGTTTTGGCTTTTGTTGCCAATGCTATTGGTGTTTTAGTCATGAAGCCCTTGCCTATGCCTCTGTCCTGAATGTTTTGCCTGGGTTTTCTTCTAGGATTTTTATGGTGTTAGGTCCTATGTTTAAGTGTTTAATCCATCTGGAGTTAATTTTAGTGTAAGGTGTCAGGAAGGGGTCCAGTTTCTGCTTTCTGTACACTGCTAGCCAGTTTTCCTGACATCATTCATTAAAACAGGAATCCTTTCCCCATTGCTTGTTTTTGTTAGGTTTGTCAAAGATCAGATGGTTGTATATGTGTGGTGTTGCCTCAAAGGTCTCTGTTCTGTTCCATTGGTCTATATCTCTGTTTTGGTACCAGTACCATGCTGTTTTGATTACTGTAGCCTTGTAGTATAGTTTGAAATCAGGTAGCATGATGCCTCCAGCTTTGTTCTTTTGGCTTAAGATTGTCTTGGCTATGTGGGCTCTCTTTTGGTTCCATATGAAGTTTAAGGTGGTTTTTTCCAGTTCTGTGAAGAAGGTCATTGGCAGCTTGATGGGGATAGCATTGAATCTATAAATTACTTTGGGCAGAATGGCCATTTTCACGATATTGATTCTTCCTAACTGTGAGCATCATTGCTTGTCCATCTGTTTGTGTCCTCTCTTATTTCCTTGAGCAGTAGTTTGTAGTTCTCCTTGAAGAGATCCTTTGTTAGTTTTATTCCTAGGTATTTTATTCTCTTTGTATCAGTTGCGAATGGGAGTTCACTCATGATTTGGCTCTCTGTTAGTCTGTTATTGGTGAATAGAAATGCTTATGTTTTCTGCACACTGATTTTGTAGGCTGAGACTTTGCTGAAGTTGCTTAGCAGTTTAAGGAGATTCTGGGCTGAGATGATAGGGTCTTCTAAATATGCAATCATGTCATCTTCAAGTAGTGACAATTTGACTTCTTCCTTTCCTAGTTGAATACCCTTTATTTCTTTTTCTTGCCTGATTGCTCTGGCTAGAACTTCCAATACTATATTGAATAGGACTGGTGAGAGAGGGCATCCTTGTCTAGTGCCAGATTTCAAAGGGAATGCTTCCAGTTTTTGCCCATTCAGTATGATATTGGCTATAGGTTTGTCATAAATAGCTTTTATTATTTTGAGATATGTTCCTTTGATACTTAGTTTATTGAGAGTTTTTATCATAAAAGGCTGTTGAATTTTGTCGAAGGCCTTCTCTGTATCTATTGAGATTATCATACGGTTTTTGTCTTTGGTTCTGTTTATGTGGTGAATTACATTTATAGACTTAGGTATGTTGAATGAGCCTTGTATTACCAGGATGAAGCCTATTTGATCTTGATGGATAAGCTTTTTGATGTGGTGTTACAATTGGCTTGCCAGTATTTTATTGAAGATTTTTACATCTATGTTCATCATGGATATTGGCCTGAAGTTTTCTTTTGAGTCTCTGCCGGGTTTTGGTATCAGGATGATGTTGGTCTCATAAAATGATTTGAGGAGTCCCTCTTTTTGGATTGTTTGGAATAGTTTCAGAAGGAATGGTACTAGCTCCTCTTTGTATGTCTGGTAGAGTTCAGCTGTGAACCCGTCTGGACCAGGACTTTTTTTGGTTGGTAGGCTATTAATTGCTACCTCAACTTCAGCCCTTGTTATTGATCTGTTCAAGGTTTGAACTTCTTCCTGGTTTAGGCTTGGGAGGGTGCAAGTGTCCAGGAATTTATCCATTTCTTCTAGGTTTACTGGTTTATGTGCATAGAGTTGTTTGTA